TGCAGTCACCATCTGCAGTGATTTTGGAGCGCCCAGAAATAAAGTCTGTCACTGTTTCCATTGTTTCCCCATCTATTTGCCATGAAGTGATGGGTCCAGAGGCTATGATCTTAGTTTTCTAAATGTTGAGTTTTAAACCAACTTTTTTACTCTTGACTTTAACTTTGAGGCTGACACACAGTCATCTCAGAGCTGTATAGGCAGGGAAGGGTCCCTCGGGTTAATCCTCCTAAACTGGGCCTCCTGTGTGGGCAAGCTGTCTATGAAGGGAGCCACTGTACTGTCATGTAGTTTAGAGTGCAGGCTCAGTCAGGATGGCTGAAAATTGAAGATCTGACACTTAGTGATCTTGGAGATTTGCTTAAACTCCTTTTGCCTAGTTTTCCCACCCATAATGTGGGGGTAACAGTACCTCTTTCATAGGTTTATTGTGCAGATTCAGTGTGAAGATGTCACACTGCACATTATCTAGCACATACTGAGTGCTCAGTCCCTCACCAGCTGTGGCAGTAGCCCAGAGGCTGGTGTTTCCTGGCTCCTTGGCTCAGCAAGCCTCTCTCCACCTGCTACCACACACCACTGCCTGGAGGGAGACCGGAAAATGGGGGGAGAGCTCCAGGACTGCACCCGGGGCGGCTGGGTGGCTCTCTTGGAAGGTTCAGGTTTCCCTGTAGCCCTGGGTTTCTCCTGTCAGCTCTGTAAAGATTCCCAAAGAGCAGGCAGGACTTTGGCAGCTCCAGAGTGAGGCCCCTGCCAGAAGGAAGGGAAGAGCATGCCCATCCTTTCCTGATTTTCCCAACCCAGGGATCGAACCCAGGTCCCCCGCATTGCAGGTGAATTCTTTACCAACTGAGCTATCAGGGAAGCCCTTCTTCTCCCAAGGAGGTTGATTCTCTGGGTCCTAAAGTCAGCTTCAATGAGTCCCCTCCCCAGAGGGTCATGTTAGGGCTATGCGGCCTTTTTTCCCTGCCCAGGCTATTGGACCTAATCCTCCCTCCCCTGGGCCTCAATTTCCCTGTCTGTGGCCAGGGGGAAGAAGAGTGCTTCTCACCTCTTAGTCTCCATGGCAACCTCGATCAATGTTGGTAGTGTCCTCCTGACTGGAGAGGTCACTGCCTTCTCCTCCCTTATGTTTTCATACAGTTTCATGCAGATACAATTACACAACCACCGCAGACCCATACTCCTAACTATAGGATACATTCATATTACCAGTCTTCAGACCCCCATGTCACAACCCTACTAAAATATAGATACCTCACACTCTATGCACACTCAGAAATACTCCAATACACTCACACACACCACAGACACCCAGGTTACATACCCATATACACCACACACACATCCCTAAGACAGGTGCACAATCGTGTAAACACACAGAGAGACATATATAAAAGGTATACATTCTCTGCACACAAACACAGGAATATACACACATGAAGACACCGAGACACCCATAACACATTCTTACGCATGTACAGTTCCTAGTTTCTCTGTCTTACACACACACACACACACTGCCAGCCCCTGACTTCTAAGCATAGGTCTTCCCTCCGCCCCTCTGGCACAGAGTAGCCACAACGTGTCTGAGGGAAGCTCCTCAGGGGCAGAGGCAGGTCACTGCTCCTCCTCTGGCCTGGCCTGGGCCGTATCCTTCTCACCAGAAGCTCCGGAGGAGATATCAATCTATAGGCTGAAGTGGTCCCCACGAAGAGGAAGAGGCTGTGGCTGGGAGGCCTGTGGGGAGGCGGGGTGAGGGGGGAGAGGGAGGAGATCCGGGGAAGGAGCAGGAAGGGAGACTGCAGGCGGTTGGGGAGCCTGAGGGGGAGGAAGCGTGCGTAGGGCGGGCCAGCCTCAGCCTGGGGGGCCATGCCCCAGGCCCACCATGAACCTGGAAGGGCTGGAGATGGTCGCTGTGCTTGTGGTCCTCGCCCTGTTTGTCAAGGTCCTGGAGCAGTTTGGCCTCTTTGAGCCTGTCTCCTTGGAAGGTAACGCAGGTATCTGGGCACGTCTGGTCTGCTGTCTAGAGGGTTGGGGACTTTATGACTAGGGTGGGGGCTGCAGGGGTAAGCAGGTTAGTAATGAGATGGGGTATCTGGGGGAGGGGAAGAGAGAAGGTGGGGGAGTAGGACATCATGGAGAGGTAAAGAGGGGGACTCAAGGGGTGGATCTGTGGAGGAAGAGAGGGAATCTGGAGGACCGGGTGTCTGAGGGAGGTGAGGAAAGAGGACAAGGAGGCAGGGCGGTGGTGAGGGGTACAGCATGGGGGGACTGGGACTGGAGATAAGGAGAAACTGGAGGAATGAGGAAAAGTCTGGAGATAGGCAAGGTATCCAGAATAGAGGAAGGAGGTTCTGGGAATCCTGAGATAACACCAGACTTCTGTGGGGGCGGTCCCCTTTTGGGGCCAGGGACCCACAATGGCTCTGAAGATGTGTGACTCTCCACACCTCCATCCTTACAGGTTTGGGTCACAGTATGTGTGGACTCAGTGTGTGAGAGATACAGGGGTGGTGTGACTGGGTGTTCACGTGTGTAAGAAAGGACAAAATGTGTGACTACTTGAACCTGTGTATGTGACAGGAATGTGATTGAGTGTGTCTGAGTGACAGTGTGTGTAGCTTTATGACATGGCAAAGGTGCCTGAGGGGCACGGAGTGTGTGGCTGAGCCTCTTGGGGTATCTGTGTGTGTGGCTGTTTCAGAGTTCCTGAGGATATGCCAGCTCCATACCCAAGGCAAAGGATGGGATGGGTTCTGGAGGGACAAGAGTTGGGGATACTGTGACTGAAACATTCATAGATCAACTCTGGTAGGAGAGTGAGGGGTGGGTCAGATCAGGGACCCTGCTTCCCAAGACTCCTTGCCTCTCCTAGGTCCTCTCAGGATCTGAGGGTAGAATGGGCTCCAGAGCCTAGACATTGTGAGTGGGAAGTCAGTTCTCCATCTGACCCCAAAGTCAAGTGGGAAGAGTGATACTGAAGGTAGAGAGGGGAGCAGGTTCTGCCTTCTCCAGGGATTTTTAGCCTCTTCTTTTTCATACCAAGAACTGTGCAACTTCATAGCATGGCTGTTCCCTAGTTCCATTATGGACAGGATTTCAGGGTAGACACATGGGAGAACTGAAAAGATGTAAAAGGAGCTGAGGTCAAGAAGAAGGCTCATGAATTGCCTGCTTTAGGGTTCAGTAAGAGCAGAAAATTCTTAGTCTACCCTCCATCCTCTGCTGCATTTATTGAAGTGGGGTGAGGTGCAGGGATTGGTGTTGGATGCATTGGGATTCATTCAGTCCTGAAAAGATGAAGTCAGTTGGGATCTAACTTGCCATCCCCTTTAGACTGTTGGTGCAAGAGCGGGGTGGACATCCAAGGAAACGCAGACATTCTGTCTGCTGAAGGCACCCCCTTTCTCTCCACAATTCAGAAGAGCCTAGAGGAGACTGAGTCCTTGAAGCAGGCAGGGGACCAGATGGGGGCATGTGTGAAGATGGGGAGGTTGGGAGAGGCGCGGGAGCCATCCCCCAGTCCAGAGGCTACTGTACCACCGGAGGCCCCCAGCACAATAGGCTTTGGGAAACCGAAGTCTGGGCTAATGGAGTCCTGGGCCAGGGGCCAAACCGCCATCGATCACCCACCCAGCTCACTGCCTCCCTCCCTCCACCCCATAGCTCCGGGAGAGAGAGGACAAATGGGAGAGAGAGGAGGTGCCAACTTCAAGCAGTTCCTTCCTGGGAGCAGAGCATCTTCTTGAGGGTGGAGCCTGGCTTGGGAGGCAGGGCCTATAAAGGAGCTGGGGTGTCAACCCACCACTAAAGGAAGTTGGGCCCCTCCAGGAATGGACTGAAGCCAACTTCAGTCGGTGTGACAGGTTCAGTGAGCTCTGGCCCTGGAGTCTGGAGGTGGGTGCAGCCAGGATACAGACAACAGGAACTTTCAGGGTCTCCCTGGAATACAATTAGAGCCACAGGATACATATATAAGTAAGGGGAAGTGAGGAGGACTGTGATTAGTGGACTCCGGATAGTCCTACATGACAACAAAATACTCATCTCCAAAGTCTGTCATTGCCTCAAAGTTTGCTATCATTTCACCTTCAAAGAGTAAGTCATACTGGAAAGGACTGGGAGGGGACATACTTTTAGGGTGGATGAATTAGCTGAGAACTCTATTCTGCTGGCATGAAGATTCTAGGTGCCTTGAAATGAGGGATTATAGGAAAGAAAGGTCAGTGTGCTCAGGGCAAATGCAGGTTCTGAGGGTAAGGTGCACCTTAGGTATCTGGTGCCATGGGCACCTAGGTTACAATATGATATGAGCATGATGACCATACTGTAACATGATGTCCCAGGGTCATTGTGTGTTCTTTGTGTGGTTTGATCAATCATGCTGTGTGTAAGATAGCCTATATGGCCTACATGTCTGTCTGTTTTTTCCTGGGTCAGTCACATTTCTGTATGTTTGTATTAAAGAGTAAGTACTAGGTCAAAGTAGGTATGTCTCTGTGTGTGTGTGTGTGCATGTGTTGGGAGGCCACTGGGTTTGAGTGAGGTACTGGGTATCAAGCTGTCCCTGTGTGGCATCCATCACTCTGTAATTTATTGTTCTATGTATACACACCTGTCACTGTATATGTGTGTGTGTGAGAGAGGTGTCCTTGGATTGGACATCATCCTCAGAGGTCCAGCTATATAGCACTGGAGCCAAGGACACTGGGTCAACAAAGACTGAGGCCAATATGCCACTTTTCCCCACCCCCACCATCTTGCTGTCCCCAGCTGTGTCCCTTTATACAAGGTGCCCGAGCCATCTTGGTGGACCTTCTGTGCCTGTGAAACCCACTGGACCCCCCTAACCTGCCCCAGCTACTCTCTCCACCCCCCCACCCCATCTTCCCCCAACACCCGCCCCCAGCCGGGGTCGATTTGTGATGATGGGGAGGGTACAGGGAATGGAGGGACAGCGGGGTTAATGTTCCTCCTGGGGTCTTCTCTCTTCCCAGGCCACCCTCCAGGGCCCACTAAAAAAGCGCTGAAGCAGCGGTTCCTCAAGCTGCTGCCATGCTGCGGGCCCCAAGCCCTGCCCTCAGTCAGTGAAAGCAAGTGCCTCTCCTGTGCTTCCGGGGGTGGGGCCCGTGTGTGCCTGGAGTGTAAGGAGTGTGAGAGTGCGTGTAGGCTTGACCAACTTGGCAGAGGTGGGCTGGGCCCTGGCTGACCCTGATGTGAGGGGGCGTGATTACCCAGGGAATGTGTGGGCGTGGTCAGCATGGAGGCGGGGCCTGAGTGTGGGCCATCTGGGTCTGCGAAATGGGTGGGATCTGGATTTTGGGGCGTGGTCAGTATGACAGGCTGAGGTCTCTCTGATCCTTTTTTTTTTTTTTTTTTTGGTCTCTCTGATCCTGTGTGAGTGTGGCCACGGTGGCAGAGGTGGGACCAGGTGGCTGTGAGGGTCTGTGCTTGGGGTTGTTGTCTGGCCGCCCTCCCTGCCCTTGGGCATGTTTTGGACTTTGAGAGGTAGGTCACCAGTGTCTTGACTAGACGGATACAAGTGTAAGGGCCGAGTCCACCTTCCTTCAGATACCAGGATACTGGAGTTTTATAGGACCAGCCTGGTCCCCAGTTGAGTGACCTCACTTTGTAGGCCTCAGTTTCCTCATTTGGGCCTTGTCCACCTCACAGGATTATACATACTGCATTTTGCAAGCTATAAAGACCCGGTTTGTAGTCACTACTGGAGAATGTCATTGTGTTTGATTCTGCTGGGTCCCACATGGGGGTAGATTCCGAAAAAGGGCAGGTGTGATATGCATAAGGTCCGATTTGTGTGTGTGTGTGCTCATTCGTTACGTGTGCCTTTGCGTGCGCGCGGAGATGGGGAGTGTGCATTGTAACAAGCAGGTCTGTGAGATTTGCTGTGAGTGTGAGGGGCGAGGTGTGTGCAGTTGGCCGTGTCTTCCGCTTTCTCGGTGACAGTTCGCTCCCTTCAGCATTAGCCGCCCCAGCCTCCCTCCGCCCCCACAGACCCCGCCTGCTGGACCCAGGTGACTTATTCTCCTGGTGGGGGCGGGTGCGGGGAACTTTGGGAGCCTGGGTTGGGGGCATCTGCCTGGGGACTGGATGTTGGGAACTGGGGTGGGGCTGAGATGGGGCTGGGGTGGTGGCCTTCTCTAAGGCACACTAGGGGTGTGGCAGGAGTTGGGCTATGGATGGGGCTTGGCTGGAGCTGGGCGGGGCATGGCTGGGCATGGCTGGGATAGGCGGGGCTTGGCTGGAGGGCTGAGTCTGGGCGGGGCAAGGGTGAGGCTGGCGGATCTGAGTTTGGTAAGGGAAGGCCCAGAGTTCCCACCCTCAGAAGCCCCTTCTCCAACCCAGTTTTCCTGCTCCTGTCCTGGGATGAAGATGGGACTGGGGGCCTTCCCCTGCAACCAGGGATCAAGGGTCCAGGGGCCAGCGCTGACTCAGACCGCTGGCTCTGGGGCCAGGCCTGGCCTTGGACTAAGCCCGCTGATAAACTTCGAAGCTGACTTGGTGTCTTCTTTCCTTGCCTTGAAGTCCCTGGCTCGGGATCAGGGGAACTGGCAGGCTGGTCTCCTGCGTCGGAGATGGAGCGGGGGGTGGGGTGGGGGGGTTGGATAGTTAAGTGATTCTGAAGAGGGATCATGGGGGACAGGCCTGAGGCGCGGCTGTCCCCCCCCCTCCCAACTGCCCCCACCCCGCAGACAGCGTGGAGGATGAGTTTGAGTTGTCCACCGTGTGTCACCGGCCCGAGGGTCTGGAGCAGCTGCAGGAGCAAACCAAATTCACACGCAAGGAGCTGCAGGTCCTGTACCGGGGTTTCAAAAACGTGAGCGCAAAGATCAGTCTAGCTGGGGAGGGGCCGGGTCTGTGCAGGACTTTTCTCGCTTCCGGGAGGGGCAGCGATGGGGAGGGGAAGGGACAGCTCCTAGCAAGGGGTGCCTGCCAGTTTAAGAAGGGAGCCTGTAGGCTGGCCTGTCCGCTCTGTGCTTTTTATTTGTGCGCTTGGGAGATATCTTCCCTCCAATAGAAGAGCTACATGGTGAGCCCCCTAGAGACGCAAAGACTTCCCACCTCTCTGGGAGTCTCTGACCACAGAGGGTGGGGTGGGAATGTGGGTGAGATGACGGGCGGTAAGTAGAAGATGGTTTCCTCTCTTCCTTTAGTCTGCTTTCCCTCCCCACCTTACCCACAGGAATGTCCCAGTGGAATTGTCAATGAGGAAAACTTCAAGCAGATTTACTCCCAGTTCTTTCCTCAAGGAGGTAAGGAGACAAGTCCTTGGGGAGAGGTTCTGGAGGGGTTGGAAATGCCAAGTTGGGAGTTGGCAGAGCCCCACAGAGGTAGGGAGGTAGGAAGTCTGCTCCTGTCTGGAAGCCAAGCTTGCTCACCACACTTATCCTACAGACTCCAGCACATATGCCACTTTTCTCTTCAATGCCTTTGACACCAACCATGATGGCTCAGTCAGTTTTGAGGTGAGCTGGAGGAGGTGGGCCAGGGAAGCATGTTTCCTGGAACTTCAAGGCCAACCCAAACCCAGGTTGAGTGAAGGTACCTGAAGACTCATTTTCCCCTGCCTCCTTTCTAGGACTTTGTGGCTGGTTTGTCGGTGATTCTTCGGGGAACCACAGACGATAGGCTGAACTGGGCCTTCAACCTGTATGACCTCAACAAGGATGGCTGTATTACCAAGGAGGTCGGGGGCAACTGATGAGCTGGGGGTGGGGGGTTATATGTGTATGGGGACAGGCACAGGGCCCCTGGGGGGGAATGTGACCCACATGTGCATCAGCAAGGGCTGAGGTCTGCCCCAGGCCTTCTAGTTAGGAGGTTGGAGACTCTGAGGAGGGATCCTCTTCTCTCTTGGTCTAACAGGAAATGCTTGATATCATGAAGTCCATCTATGACATGATGGGCAAGTACACGTATCCTGCACTCCGGGAGGAGGCCCCAAGGGAGCACGTGGAGAGCTTCTTCCAGGTGCCTGGGACTGGGCAGGCTGGGTTTTGGAGTGAAAGGAAGGAGGCAAGGTCCCAGCCGGGAACTTACCCAAGTTCTGCCTGCCTCTCTCCTGTCATCCCTCCTGTTTTCTCTACCTGACTACCTTTTTTGCAGAAGATGGACAGGAACAAGGATGGCGTGGTGACTATTGAGGAATTCATTGAGTCTTGTCAAAAGGTACAGGGCCCTGCCCTCTACATTTTCCTGATCTGGACTCAGGGCCTGATTCAATGATGTAGGAGAAAGCTCCTTTGGGCAGAGTACCATCTCCCTAACTACCCCCAATTCTAAATCGTTTTCCTTCATAACTTGGGGAGACCTGACCCTTTCCCACCTCTCTGAGTGTCTCCTTCTTCACTGCCTCTCTCTGTCTCTGAACGTCCCTATTTCTGAATCAGTGTTCTTCTCCCTTTCTCTAATAAGCTCTTTTTCTTCCTTTCTCTCCAATCTGCCTCTCCCACCATGGCTACAGGACGAGAACATCATGAGGTCCATGCAACTCTTTGACAATGTCATCTAGCTCCCCAGGAGAGGGGGTCAGTTGCCCTGGGGGGACCATGCTCTAGCCCTAGTCCAGGTGGACCTCACCCTTCTCTTCCCAGGTCTGTCCTCATCCTAGCTCTACCCTGGGGGCTATAGGAACCCAAGAGCCTGGGGATTTAGTGGTCCATACTGCTGGAGCTGAGGAGGGTAGGGAGTGGGCAGTGTATCTGTGGGGGTGTTTTCAACTCCCAACAGCTCCCCCTTCCTGCCTGAAACTCAGTGCCGAGGGTGCCCTGTTATGGGAATTGAGTGGTCCTTCCCCTCCCACCCCACAACTGAGAAACCACAACACTAGGCAAAATGTCTCCTGCTATGGTGCTTCCCCCATCCCTGATCTCATAAGCATTTCCCCTAAGATTCCCTTGTAAAAAGGCTGTTCTGTCCTTGGCACTAACTGGCCTTTCAGGCCAGGGCCTTTGACAGTGCTGTAGGAGGGGGTCAAGAATGTGGAGGGAGTAACCTTGGGCCTAAGCCAACGGGTAGGCCCTAGGAGGCAATTGCGGTAGAGAGCAGAAAAGCCTGGGGATTGTCAGTGACAGTATACCAGGCTATAGCTTTGAGCTCTACAGGTCTGCCACCCCAAGCCATCAGAATATGTGTTTCCAGGCTCTTCAGAAAACCTTGGAAATATCCCCAGAAAATTTCCATGTACTCCTCAGTATCCCAGGAGAACCTGGGATCCGGGTTTTGGCAGATCCCTGGAATTTCTTCCTCTTCTTCCTTCCTGTTTGGGTAGTGGTGGTGGCAGCGGGGGGAAGATAGATGGGAGCTGTCTTGACTGATACCTGCCAAACTTTCGGCCTACCTTCTATGATGGCTGCAACTTAAGTTTTCATTTGTCATTTCCTCTAGACCTGGAGGCATGGAGTAAGTCAGGGACCACCCTGTGGATGCCTTAGGAGAAAAAGGAAGGAAGGAGGCACACATAGCATTTGAACCCAGTGTGGGGGCATTTTTGAGAATTTTTTATATACCCAGGCTCTATTCCTGCCTCCCCACATAGCCTCCTTATAGCCTACTCAGAGTTTCCTCTTGCTCTAGTCAATCTACCCAGAGATGCCCCTGAGCACACCTTGAAGGCAGGGACCATAGGATCCAGGTCCCACCTCACTGCCAGCAGCCCGGCCACACTGCTACCCTTTAATATATCTGCTTGTCCCATTTAGCTCACTTTCCCAGTCAGCTGTGAACTGAGGGGGAGGGCCCCCAAGGAGCCCCCTTCCCCATAAGAACACTGTTGACTACTTTGCATTTTTGGTTCCTCTGTAATTTTTGTAAAATAAGAAATCACCAGATCCAATAAAACACAATGGCTATGCACAGGTTGCTGTCTCTGCCTTTTTGTCCCTCCTACCCCACACATAAACTCACAACCCCTAACTCATACAGCCTTTTAGATCCCAAAGACAATGCTTCCTTTCCTAGATTATGGCCAACCCTTGGCAGGAGATCAAGTCACATGTTCTGGAAGAGTTGGAAACCTCCTGGACCTTAGGAGAGGCTCCTGAATCTCCCTTATCCATGGAGGAGACAAGGAAGAGAAAGATGATTGATGTCCCAAAGACTATGCCAAGCCAGCTGTCTTTTGGCTAAACATTCTTTCAAGTCAAATCAAGAATTTCTAATTTACATATTAATACATCTTAGTTAATTTTAAAATGCTTTTAAGAGGGGAATTCCCTTTAGGTTCTAATGAAAGTTCCTTTGTGTAAACATTCCAGCTAGTATAGATGTACATTTGTGTCTGTACTCTAGCCAAGAATGATGGGGGAGCAGATGAAGTAGACCAAGGACTGGTCACCATGGAGCAGTTGACACAAAGGGTAATAGAAGCTTCCTGTGTCGGGTAGGAACCTTTCTTTGTTCTGCTCCTGGAGAGGGGCTGCCAATGCTAAGTTCCTCCCATCCTTTCTCTAGGGCAGTGTTATGTGGTAACTAAGCTTTACAGTCCATAGAAGGGGGATCAGGCCTTCTCTACCAACATTGTAATACACACATTGACAAGATCAAGGGAGGGGTATGGTGTCTAAGAAACAAAACCTTACTTCCAGAGTCCTTTATTTTGTCATGTTTTTGCTGCTCACATCATCACATAGCTGTCTGCTTCTTAGGTCCTTGGGTTCCTTTGGGTCACAACCCTCTGTAGGATCTAGTTAAATTTGTGGACCTACTGTCTAGAGGAAAAAAATAGCACAGTTTTCCATATGTTTTTGTGTCCCTGAAGCCCATCCATGGGCCCTAATTAAGAACCTATGATCCAGTCTACCTCTGTCTTCCATTGTACAGAAGAGGAAACAGGCCCAAAGAGCAAAGAGCACTTGCTCAAGACCAACCGATAAGTTTATAGGAAGGTTGATACTAGACTCAGTCCCCCAAATCTCTGTACAGGGTGGCCTTGGAGCACAGTAAAAATTTGTGGGTGAAAGATGGATGCTATGCATGTCATGTATAATCGAGACAATGTAACACTGTGACAGGCTGTCCTGTTGCCCTATACTTTTCCTTCCAGGCACTTATCAGTTTGTAACTGTATATTCAAGTGTATTTATTTGAGTGATTATTTGTCTTTTTTGTTACATTGTAAGCTCCTGAGGACTCCTTGAGTGCCTGGACTAGGTTTTTTTCCCCCTTACCATCCTATCCTGGGGCCTGGCAAGTAATAGGCATTTCATAATTGTATGAATAACTGTATGGTATGGATAAATGGGCATGGTAAGTGTATGTATATAATTGGCTTAAGTATGGAGACGGTCTCTATATTTTAGGATACATTCAAGCTTAAGGGAAGTGTAAGTCTGAAGCTGAGAATTTCTAGGAACTGAGAAGTACCCCAGAGCTAGGGCAGACAATGGGAACCAGGAAAAAAAAAAGAGAAAAGACAGGAGGTTGGGATTCTGATCATTTTTTTCTGGCCACTGATTAGATTCTGAATGTTGTTAGCTGCTCCATCTCAAAACACTCTTCTTTATTGTTTTTCTTTTACCTCTCTGGCCATCCCTTCTCAGTCCTCCCTTGATAACTCATCCTTCTCATTTGGAATATTAAACATGGGTCCCCACAGCTCAGACCAGAGCCTCTTTTCCATAACACATCCAATCCCATGGCTTTAAACATTATCTATATGCAGGGAGACTCCTAAGTTTTTATCCCCAGAATTCTCCTCTGAGCTCCAAGACCCACATATTCAATTGCCTATTTGACATATTCATGTGGATCTATAATGGTCATAGTAAACATGTTCAAAACGGAGTTTTGACTCATGCCTTCCTAGTCTTCCCCATCTCAATAAATGACACCATCTACCTAGTTGCTCAGGTCAAAATTTAGGAGTCTTCTTTTCTTCTTCCACACTCTTCTTCTGAGTTGAGTTGAGTTCAGTCGGTCAGTCGTGTCCGACTCTTTGCGACCCCATGAATCACAGCATGCCAGGCCTCCCTGTCCATCACCAACTCCTGGAGTTTACTCAAACCCATGTCCATCGAGTGGGTGATGCCATCCAACCATCTCATCCTCTGTCATCCCCTTCTCCTCCTGCCCCCAATCCCTCCCAGCATCAGGGTCTTTTCCAATGAGTCAACTCTTCCAGTGAGGTGGCCAAAGTCCTGGAGTTTCAGCTTCAGCATCAGTCCTTCCAATGAACACCCAGGACTGACCTCTTTTAGGATGGACTGGTTGGATCTCCTTGCAGTCCAAGGGACTCTCAAGAGTCTTCTCCAACACCACAGTTTAAAAGCATCAATTTTTCGGCTCTCAGCTTTCTTCACAGTCCAACTCTCACATCCATATATGACCACTGGAAAAATCATAGCCTTGACTAGATGGACCTTTGTTGGCAAAGTAATGTCTTTGCTTTTTAATATGCTATCTAGGTTGGTCATAACTTTCCTTCCAAGGAGTAAGCGTCTTTTAATTTCATGGCTGCAATCACCATCTGCAGGGATTTTGGAGCCCCCAAAAATAAAGTCTGACACTGTTTCCACTGTCTCCCCATCTATTTCCCATGAAGTGATGGGACCAGATGCCGTGATCTTAGTTTTCTGAATGTTGAGCTTTAAGCCAACTTTTTCACTCTCCTCTTTCACTTTCATCAAGAGGCTTTTTCGTTCCTCTTCACTTTCTGCCATAAGGGTGGTGTCATCTGCATATCTGAGTTTATTGATATTTCTCCTGGCAATCATGATTCCAACTTGTGCTTCTTCCAGCCCAGCGTTTCTCATGATGTACTCTGCATATAAATTAAATAAGCAGGGTGACAATATACAGCCTTGACGTACTCCTTTTCCCATTTGGAACCAGTCTGTTGTTCCATGTCCAGTTCTAACTGTTGCTTCCTGACCTGCATATAGGTTTCTCAAGAGGCAGGTCAGGTAGTCTGGTATTCCCATCTCTTTCAGAATTTTCCACAGTTTATTGTGATCCACACAGTTGAAGGCTTTGGTGTCATCCATAAAGCAGAAATAGATGATTTTCTGACACTCTCTTGCTTTTTCGATGATCCAGCGGATGTTGGCAATTTGATCTCTGGTTCCTCTGCCTTTTCTAAAACCAGCTTGAACATCTGGAAATTCACTGTTCATGTATTGCTGAAGCCTGGCTTGGAGAATTTTGAGCATTACTTTACTAGTGTCTGAGATGACTGCAATTGTGCAGTAGCTTGAGCATTCTTTGGGATTGCCTTTCTTAGGGGTTGGCATGAAAACGGACCTTTTCGAGTCCTGTGGCCACTGCTGAGTTTTCCAAATTTGCTGGCATATTGAGTACAGCACTTTCACAGCATCATCTTTCAGGATCTGAAATAGCTCAACTGGAATTCTCCCTCCACTCTCCCTCTACTCTCCCTTAATTCATCACCAATCCTGGGGATTCCCTGGCAGTCTAGTGGTTAGGATTCTGGTGCTTTCACTGCTCAGGGCCAGGCTCAATCCCTGGATCTCTAGAGGACTAAGATCTCTACTAGCCATGCACCACAGCCCCCACCCCCCAAAAAAACCCACCAATTCCACCATCGAAGGTTCACCATCTCTCTCCACTGCTGTTCCTTAGTCTAAATCACTATCATTGCTTAACTATATTACTTTTTTTCCATCTGAAGTAGACCTTCCTTACTGTGGTTACTTTTCATCACATCACTAGATTTCCTCTCTTCATAGCACTTATCACAAACTGAGTTCCTGTGTGTATACTGAATCGCTTTCTCCAACCAGAATGTAAGCACTGTGAGAGCAGGACCCTATCTTGTTCATTCCTCAACTGTTTATCACAGGCCTGCTAGGCTATGGTTCCTACTGTAGGTGCTGTGGGGGAGAGGTGTGTTATGGAGAGAAAGGGTGTGGCAAGAATTGCCCTTTAAACTTGAGAAGTACAGATATGGAAGGTGGATCTTGCCTGGGTCGTGGACTCCGAAGTGTTGACTACAGAGAGTAGATGAAATTGTGGCTGATGACTTGCGACCAATTGCCACAGTGTAAAGTGTGAAGCAAAGAGGAAAGTGTCATGAGACTGGGGGCTGGGGTCACCTGGAATGCCAGCTCCAAAATCCCCAAAGGACCACAATATCCAGTGAAGCTGCTATGGCCCCCTACTGTCATCACAGGAAATCCCCTAATCCTAATCCCCATCTTATGCCAAAGCCTTTGACTGTGTGGATCACAATAAACTGTGGAAAATTCTGAAAGAGATGGGAATACCAGACTACCTGACCTGCCTCTTGAGAAACCTATATGCAGGTCAGGAAGCAACAGTTAGAACTGGACATGGAACAACAGACTGGTTCCAAATAGGAAAAGGAGTACGTCAAGGCTGTATATTGTCACCCTGCTTATTTAATTTATATGCAGAGTACATCATGAGAAACGCTGGGCTGGAAGAAGCACAAGCTGGAATCATGATTGCCAGGAGAAATATCAATAAACTCAGATATGCAGATGACACCACCCTTATGGCAGAAAGTGAAGAGGAACGAAAAAGCCTCTTGATGAAAGTGAAAGAGGAGAGTGAAAAAGTTGGCTTAAAGCTCAACATTCAGAAAACTAAGATCACGGCATCTGGTCCCATCACTTCATGGGAAATAGATGGGGAGACAGTGGAAACAGTGTCAGACTTTATTTTTGGGGGCTCCAAAATCCCTGCAGATGGTGATTGCAGCCATGAAATTAAAAGACACTCCTTGGAAGGAAAGTTATGACCAACCTAGATAGCATATTAAAAAGCAAAGACATTACTTTGCCAACAAAGGTCCATCTAGTCAAGGCTATGATTTTTCCAGTGGTCATGTATGGAAAACTTTCTTCACAGTTGGACTGTGAAGAAAGCTAAGCGCCGAAAAATTGATGCTTTTAAACTGTGGTGTTGGAGAAGACTCTTGAGAGTCCCTTGGACTGCAAGGAGATCCAACCAGTCCATCCTAAAAGAGGTCAGTCCTGGGTGTTCATTGGAAGGACTGATGCTGAAGCTGAAACTCCAGGACTTTGGCCACCTCACTGGAAGAGTTGACTCATTGGAAAAGACCCTGATGCTGGGAGGGATTGGGGGCAGGAGGAGAAGGGGATGACAGAGGATGAGATGGTTGGATGGCATCACCCACTCGATGGACATGGGTTTGAGTAAACTCCAGGAGTTGGTGATGGACAGGGAGGCCTGGCATGCTGTGATTCATGGGGTCGCAAAGAGTCGGACACGACTGACCAACTGAACTGAACTGATCCCCATCTTAACACTCCAGGACTAAAAAGAGGAACTATAAGAGTCTGGAGCTACAAGTTGGTCTACCGGTGGAGGAGTCTAATATGAGACTGAAGTACAAGATGGACAATGTTAAGTGTTAATAATCAGAATGAGAAAGAGATGCTTATTTCACATATAAACCACCTAGCTAACCACAGATTTTTCAGCCACTGAGTGCATCTTGACAGGACCAAAGGGAGCCCTGAGAATAAATAGCAAGGAGACCCAAGTCCATCTAGGGCTCAGGGAAGGCTTCCCACAAGGAAATGTTTGTGCTGAGGCTCAAAGAGTCTCCTGTCTCCATTATACACACTTCACACTCCCCATTCCCAAACAGGCCATGCCTTTTCAACCCCTTCCTACATGTGCACTCCCTTCCACTTGCCTAGAGTGCTCTCTTCTCTCTCCCCAACTAACTCCTATTTATAAATTGGCTAACTCCTATTTATCCTTTATGACCCAGCTCGAAAGTGAAGCCATGGCCGCCGCCTCTACCCAAAGGAAGATGAAGTCGGTCCCTCCTCTGAGCTCCCACAACACTTGGGTACACTGTGTGGGGATTGTGTGTGTATTCGTTAGTCTGAACCTCCTTGCTGTGAGCTCACAGTGGCCCAAGAGGAAAGCAGGAGGCAAGCTCAATAGGTGTCTGCTGAGAGAAGGAATGACTTAGTTTTTAAAGGGGGCTAGCGCCAAGCTGGAGGTAGGGGGAAATGTTTCAGGGCAGAGGAGTGAGCTGACCTTCTTGGAGTGTTGTCTTCACAGAACCGAGCCTGGGTCAGGTTGATGTAATGAATCAACTTGTCAGAAGAATCTCAATAGAAAGTAGGTCAGTTTCTTCCCAGCTCTTTAAGAACCAGAGGCTCGGTTTCCGCGCCTGCGCTTTAAGAGAGTAAACACCTTTTTTTTCACCCACTCCCGCCTGCCGGCCCTATCCACATCCCTATTGCCTCAACCCGCTCCAGCCTCCTCCCATTCCCCCCTTCTCCGGGTTGGTTAATGGTTTGTTCTTGGGCGTCTGGCTCGTTCTGGAGGGTGGCGAGCATAAATGGTACATTCCACTGCCTTCGTTACCTTCCGCTTTTCGCTTCTTTTCTGTTCTGCTCCCCCCTACCAAATGAAGCTGAATAGTCTGGCCCAAAAGAAGGAGGGGGAGCCGGGCTGAAGGGACCGGTCTGAGCCGGTCTCCGGCGCAGGCGCAGTGCGGATAAACAGGAAGCGGGCGGTAGAGGCAGCGGCAGAGGAGACCCAGGGGCTTCGGGAGGAGGCAGCGGGAGAGCTAGGATTATCGGAAGGTCAACAGAACCTAACTGAGAAGGAGAAAAAGAGCCTTGGCCATCTGCCTCCAGGGAAGGATACGTCGCGGACTCGCTCTCTGCTTAAGCTTCCGGCCTTCCCCAGCTTAGGCTGAGGCAGCGGCTGACAAAGGGCTCGCGCCGGTGCCGCCGCCCTTCTCATCCGGGCATTCGGGTCCCTGCGGAGCGGGAGGGGGAAGGGCAGAGGGGGAAGGGAAGGAGCAGGAAGGGCGCGCGCTAGGAGCCGAGGCCCTCTCTAGGGCTCCGGGCCGGCGGCCCAACGGACGGAGGCCGAGGAGGACCTGCAGAGGTGGCGGCGGCCGGGGGCAGGAGAATGGTGCAGAAGGAGAGCCAGGCGGCGCTGGAGGAGCGGGAGAGCGAGCTCAACTCCAACCCTGCCGCCTCCGCGGGGGCATCGTTGGAACCGCAGGCAGGTCCAGCACCCGGAGAAGACAACCCAGCCGGGGCCGGGGGAGCAGCGGTGGCCGGGGCGGCAGGAAGGGCTCGGAGGTTCCTGTGTGGCGTGGTGGAAGGTGAGAGCTGTGGCGCGCGGGCTAGGCAGGAGCGTCCTCCCCCCCGCCCCACCCCAGTAGTAATCTGTTCTTTCCTGGTTAGGCGGATGGCGGCGGAGCCTGGGCGGCGGCGGTGGCGGGCAGAGGGCGAGGGGGGGAAGCTCTAAAAGGGGATTATTCCTGTGGGTCTGAAATTTGACCCTGCTGGAACGAGGGGAGAGGCGGGAGGGTGGGCAAGTCTTCTCTCGCGTTCTGGAACGGCGTCGAATTCCCCTCTGGCTATTAACATGCCTGACCCCACCCTCCTTGGACTTGGAGCCAGGCGTGCTCCAGTGGAGGCGGTGTGGGGAGTCTGGTCTTGGGCTCTGAGTTTTACCTCTTTGTACCTTGGGATCTTGTCTCTTAGGGTGGTTTGTGTTCACATACGGAAAGGCATGTATAGTGCTGCTGCCCCTACCCTTAAGGAAAAACGGCTACCCATCAGATGTGCTAGTTGTATTCCTGGAGTGAAGAGGAGCACTGTGGGCCTATAGTTTTACAAATTCCTTTTTGCTTAGAGGTGGTTTTTTTGGTATGTTTTTTGTTTTGTTTATTTAGTTCCCAACCGCCCATCCTTTGAATCCAGTTTCATTTGCAGCCTGGACAATTGCCCTTTGCTAACTAACTACTCCGCCTTGCCTCTGGGGGATGAAGCTTTGGTTTTAATAGTATCTGAGATGTGGAATTTTTAGTTATTGCAAAAGAGGTTTGAAAATTCCTTTTCACCACCTCTTTTCCCATTACCATTTAGGAATGATGGACTTTTTTTGGTGTTTGGAGAAAATGAGTAGAAGAGTGTTTCACAGTTTATGAATGTAATGGACAAATGTTGCACAGATGGGCATTCTATGAAAGTATGAATCAGTTTCATTATTGCTCTTACCTGAAGTACAGCATGTATTCGAACTTTCTAAAGTATTTTGGCTAACCCAGGGTTTCCTAGCTTGTATACCTCATTAGTTTTCTTTTATGTAATGGTGTGCTTAGGAGTAACAGTTAAATAACTGGTCTTCATACAAAACCAGAAAGGCATGGAAAAGGAAAGAAGGATTGTCCTCATGGTTGAGAACTTCCAAACATATGGAGTATTCATTTGAAAGATAAAGTTTAATTGTAGGGGAAACAGACTAGTTGGCAGCTAGGGTTAGAAATGAAACGGTTAAGTGAAGTTAACTGTTGCACAATTTTGGGGAAAACAGAATGGAAAAACTACCTATGTGTTTGTCTGGAGTCGGTGTTTATGAAAACATGATTGATTTGCTTGACTTACCCATCGATGTATTTATAGGACTAGAATCTGCAGGGAGATACTAGGAAAAGAATCTGTGTTTTGTGACCTAAGATCTTGGGATGGAGGGTGGGAGAGAAGTGCTGGACAATTAGAAATTTTAGAGCTAGACTACAGTGAGTCTAAGGAAACTTGCCTGTGGATTACACCTTCAATAATTATAGAAAAAGCTAGCTGTGGTTAAGACCAGTTGATTTATTTTTCAGAATAGTACTAAAAGGGAACTAGTCTACTTAGAATTGTCTTATCTGTTGTCTTTTCTCCTTCCCATTCCCTAGAATATTTCCATGGTGACTAATCACCTGATTTTTTTTTTTTTTGATGTTTGTTTTTTCTTTCCCTCACAAACCTTTGTTGATTTTATTTATTTGCATACTTATGAGGTTAATTTGTGCTTTTATTTGCAAGTATTTACAGTGGCCAACAAAATTTATTGATTTTAAAAGTACATTTTACATCACAAACCAACACACACATATGTATACCTATATAAAAGTGAAACAAAAGTTTTGCCAAAAAGGTCTACCCTGAGTGTTAGTTTTTGTTTTGGGGTTTTTTTTTTTTTTTTTGAAGCAAGGGTGAACTGCACTGACAATCACCAAAGTTCCCAGTTCTTAAGCTTCACTTTACTGACGTGAATAATGTTGCAAGTTCTGTGGACGAATCTTTGTTGATTTTAACTCGTGTAACAGCCCCGCTTCCTCTTTGTGGTGCTAGTTAACTAAAACCACGAACCTTACTCTCAAAGAGCAAAGTTAGGGTTTCTGAAGATTAAAATGTTAGACCCTTGAAAAAAATTTTTTTAAATGTTGAGACAGCTCTAAGGGAAAGTTTAATGCCTACTCCAAGAGGTAATGATAATGCAAACTGTTGAAGGAAAGCTACAAAGACTTGTAAAATTCACTTAACATTTTAAATCACTTATAAGAGAGTAACCATGGAATTGTCCAGATTCCAAGTGCTGCAGTTTCATGCATTAGTACCTAATGAATTTTTAGTTTTTATTTTTTGGTCTGTCTCATTGTCTTTGTGCAGAGTAACCATTTTGTTTAGAGTGGAGGTTATTACAGTTCAGAAATTTTGGTTTTGAGTTTGGTTTTGAGTTTGTTAAATTGTGTGTGTAGGGAGCATTTTGTGTTCAAAACAGAATTTGAACCATCTTCATAATATTCTTGAGAGATTGTCCTTATCTCTGGCAGATGATTAGGTTGAGACTGGTGAAAATAAAGGTTAGGCAAGCTGTAATACCAGTTTGGTGCTTATATCACTAACATCATTCATCTGCTGGTTTGTTTCTTGCATTACTAGTGCTGTGCCCCCACATGGGATACTGGAGTGAGTCACATTCTTGAATTTTCAGTTGTTCAAACATTTGCTCTGGAATTGAGATTGCTTGAGTTTCCTGTTTGGGCCAGTTCCGATGTTGAATTTGCTGTGAGTGTAGTTTAAGGCACTTTTTGGGTCTCTTTTACAATGTAATTTTGGAAAACAAAATCATAAAATTGGGTCAGTCAGATTCTTTACTAATTCTGTTCCTGATTTTTTTCCTACCTTTTCTACCTCTAAAAGTGGTTTAACTCCCCTCCTAGATAGTACTTGTTATTAATTGCAGCTTGGGGTTACTAGGCTTCTCCTCTCCTCACTGTAAGATTGAGATAATCTTTTTAAAAAGTTAGGTTTAAATACATGGTATTTTTTGATAGTGAAAAGAGATGATGTTTAGCTCTTTTCAGATAACTTTATCACATAAGTAATTAGTGTCCATGGTAGAAAAACCAGAAAATTTGCCTAAGCAAAAAGGGAATTAAAGTCACTTTATAATTTCACCCCAAAACATGTTAATATTTTATTAAACATCCTTCAAATTTTTGTATTGTTTACAGACTGACGTCATTTGTATTGTAATCTGCTTTTCTCAGTACACAGTTTATCACATTCTTAAAATTTCATTCTTACTTTTGAATCCAGGATTTTATGGAAGACCGTGGGTTATGGAACAGAGAAAAGAGCTCTTTAGAAGGTAATTTTTTATTATGTAAAGGAGAGTCTTAATTAATATTTCCTTTTGTTTGAGGAAACACTGGCACTGAATAGGCCAAGTACAGTTTGATGATTTCTCAGTTGCAGAAGTTATTTTAACCTTGGTCTTCTTCCTCTTCACCTAGGCAAGTGGTTGTCAGACTTGCCTGGAAAAGCTGGATAGCTTTTGGGCTTCACTTGCTTCACTCAGAGCTGTTGTATTTTTATTTAAAACTGTTGGATATGTTAACATTCCTTATTTAATTTTTTTTACAACGCCACTGGACTTGAAAAAGGTTAAAAGCTACTGCCCCAGAATATTAGCTTTTTAAGAGATGGAGCTGCTCCCAGAAAAGGGAAAAAATTGAGGTATACTGGTTATGCATGTTCCCTGTTTATATACATGTAATTTTCTTTCCTCTTAAGGCTCCAGAAATGGGAATTAAATACATATTTGTATGCTCCAAAAGATGACTACAAACATAGGATGTTTTGGCGAGAGATGTATTCAGTGGAGGAAGCCGGTAATCTTTTTCTTTTTAATCTGTAAATGTAGAGTATGTGAAGAAAACAGGTGTATTTTAAATGTAGTTGTACAAGAATTAAGTATTCCACTTTGACTTTGTAGGTAGTTTTCATTTATATAGTAACTCTGTGTGTGAGTGCAGATTGAAAGAATAGCGCTAACGATGTCTGGCCATGGTATGATTCATGACTTTGCCAGTCTCATTCCACCTGTTTTGTGGTCATAATTGTACTTTTAACTTCTGCTAGTAAGCAGTAGGCCATTGGACAAAGAGGTGCTGAAGCAAGGCTAGGCCTCTGGCAAGGCAAGTGAGGTGCCTGCCTTGGGTGCAAGTTTTAAAGTACTCCAAAAAATCAATAATACAGATAAAAAGTATTATCTATTTTTAAAACCAGAACTAATGCCAAAAAAATCCATGAACAAAATACCAAAATCTAAAATAAAGACAGGGTTAGTATTACTGATTGTTTTGCTTCAGGTTCAGCCAGGTATGGCTTGGTCTTAACCACTTGATTACTAGTACTGGTCCTATCTTTATTTAAAGTCAAGGACCTTACCCTGGTTCAGGCCTATAATGAAGTGAAAGCTCTCAAACTGTCCTTTCTGCATGTGTTCTTATGTCGAGTTAGCTACATAAAATTCATAAATACAAGTAACTAAGACAAATGGTGAAGTGCTTTTCTTTGTGTACTTGAGTGAATGGGGAAACATTTTCATACCTGGAATTAAATTATAGCTAACAAGTAATTTACTTGTTACAAGTAAGTTAGTTACAAATAAACTAACAAATAATTTACTTGATATTTGGTTACAGAGGCCAGCCAAGATAGTGAAGGCAGAAAGTTTTCTTAAATTATGAAAAAAGTAATTAAAACTCCATCTAGTTTGTTGTTTACTACTCTATATAACTTGTGTTTCTTCAACTTGATTTCTGGTGATGCTGGTAATGAAATTTAATGTGATCAAAATATAGTTAAATGAGTATCTTAAGATACTACTGAAAGTTATTTAAAGGTATATCTTGTGGTATGGAATAGTATTTCAATTTACTTAGGAAAATTGTCACATTTTAGAAACTTAAAGCTGTGATAGATTTTTTTGTTGTAGTTACAGAGATGTCAAGATTGTTAAGGCCATCACTTAACCCTGGTTCTTAAGAACACATTTTTCTTCTAAATTATAAAGTAGTTTATGTAGCGTTATTTTTTAGGAATTCCAGTTGTACAGAGACAGCAAAAACAAAAACATAACTCTCAAACACTTGAGAAATAAAATTGGTTTGCATTCAGTAAGAAGATTGATGCCTTAATTGAGTATTTTTGAGAAATGGCAATGGAAGGAAGAGAATTTTTTTATTGAGTTCAGAGTGATATTAAATTGTATCAAGTTTGTGCCATTATGTAAGGCCTGTTGTCACATTGGACATGACGATTTTGTAAAATTGAAGGGACTTTTTCTCTTTGACTTACTGAAAATCGGAGAAAACTAACCTTCAGGTGAAGGCTCTTTTAGTTTTCTGTGCTGCTTTCTAAAGTCATGGACTCTGTTCTTTAGAGCAACTTATGACTCTTATCTCTGCTGCACGGGAATATGAGATAGAGTTCATCTATGCTATCTCACCTGGATTGGATATTACTTTTTCTAACCCCAAGGAAGTGTCTACATTGAAACGCAAACTGGACCAGGTAATTTCCTTGCTTTTTCATTATTTTTCCCTGAGTCAGTACATGAAACTGAAAAGTTTCTGAGTTGCTTTTATGATATAAAAAGAAAACCAGATTCATAGTACTTCTTTGTTCCTGTACAGATTTTTACTTTCTGTGCAAATTTTTTACCTTTGATAAGAATATTTTCTAAAGGGAGTGAAAAGAGCCTTACTGGAGGTACCATATCTTTACAAATTTCCCTTTGCATAAGAACTGCCTTAAAAGAATGCTTAGAAGTAATACTTAAAAGAATGCTCATAAGCTCCATTCCCATAGATTCTTAATAGAGACTTGAGGTGGAGACTTACCTCACATTCCAGCTGATTCTGAGTCTTCCAGAGTCACATTTCCAGAAACTCTGTATGCTGTTGAGTGCTTGCTTGATTGAACTTCTGAGTGAGGTTACAGAAATAGGATTCACTCGGTTATATGGTTAAGAGACATAATTCAGTCTGGAAATGACTGGCTAGTTTCCCAAAATGAGAAGAAAAACTAGGTAAATGTGTAAGCTGTTGTTGAACCTGATTGGAATCTACATTCAACTTAGTATAAAAGCTGCACATCTGTTTTGGTAATGTAAGTGTAATATGTTTATTAAAACAAAAGTTTATATTGGACTTCCCTAGCGGTCCAATGACCAAGATGTCATGCTTCCACTGCCAGGGGTGTGGGTTCCATCCCTGGTCAAGGAACTAAGATCCCACTTGCATTGTGGTGCACCTTTTAAAAAAAAAAATGTATATTATTGGTGGTATTGGAATGGCTGGTAAAGAATTTAAAGTTAATAGGTTGTTGTAAAAGTAATTGTGGTTTTGCAGTGTTGACATTTGCCATTTGATGTTGGAATACATTCTTAAGTGTGAATATATCATACATCATTTTAATGTGCATTTCTCACTTTGTTTTTTTGCTAATGACTTATTGCTGTATATTTTACATGCATTTGAAACTATGAAAATGATGTTAGACAAAAAAGCAAATTCAAGCAGTTTTCTTACTCGAGTTAAAAAATGGGTCATAAGACAGTGGAGACACAACATCAACAATGCATTTGGCCCAGGAAGTGCTAATGAACGCACAGTGCAATGGTGGTTGAAGAAGTTTTGCAAGGGAGACGAGAGCCTTGAATATGAGCACAGTGGCTGGCCATCAGAAGTTGACAACGACCAACTGAGAGCCTTTATTGAGGCTGCTCCTCTTACAACTAGACAAGTTTAAGAACTCATTGTCAGCCATTCTATGGTTGTTCAGCATTTGAAGCAAATTGGGAAGGTGAAAAAGCTCGATAAAAGGGTGCCTCTTGAGCTGACCGAAAACCAAAAAAAATCATTGTTTTAAAGTGTTGTCTTATTGTATGCAACAGTGAACTATTTCTCAATTGGATGGTGTCATGCAACAAAAGGGGATTTCATACTACAACCAGTGATACCCAGCTCAGTGGTTGGACTGAGCAGAAGCTCTAAAGCATTTCTTAAAGCCAGACTTGTACCAGAAAAGGTCCTGGTCACTTTGGTGGTCTGCTGCCAGTCTGATCCACTACAGCTTTCTGAATTCCAGCAAAACCATTACATCCAAGAAGTATGCTCACATTCATCACAGAAGTGTGCTCACGATGAGATGCCCTGGAAGCTGCAACACCTGCAGACGGCATTGATCAAGTCCCAATCTTCTCCATTACAACGCCTGACCGCACTTGCACAACCAATGCTTCAAAAGTTGAATGGATTGGGCTGCAGAGTTTTGTCTCATCCTCCATATTCACCTGACCTCTAGCCAATCGACTACCACTTTTTCAAGCATTTCAACAACTTTTTGCAGGGAAAATGCTTCCAAAACCAGCAGGATGCAGGAAATGTTTTCCAAGAGTTAGTTAAATCCCGAAGCATGGATTTTTACGTTACAGAGATAAACTTAACTTTCATTGGCAAAAATGTGTTGACTGTAATGGTTCCTATTTTGAGTTAAAAAAGATGTGTCTGAACCTAATTATAACGATTTAAAATCAACTGTCTGAAATTGCAGTTAACATTTGTACCAACCTAAAAGTTTGGGATTTCCCTGGCTGTTCAAGGGTTAGGACTTGGTGCTTTCACTGCCAGGACTGGGTTTAGTCCCTGGTTGGGAAACTAAGATCCCACAATCTGTGTGCTGCGCCAGGAAAAAAAAAAACAAAAAACAAGTAGTTAAATTTCTGTGAATAAGCTCCTAAGAGGTTATTTCTCTGCTTGATCATATTCTGCTATTTTGGTCTTTCTGATTGATGACTTAGGTTTATGTGCAAAGAAATTAGTTAGCATCAGTGCATCTTGACTAGAGCAAATGACTTGGATTTTTCATGTCTTAGAGTTTATCGTTCATTTTTTTTCCTCTGGTATGTATCTTCTGTAGTGAAAGATGTAGAAGGATAAGCCACGTTATAGAAGCTTTGTTAGACAATTTGCTTAGAGCATTCAAACCCAAATGAAAATATGGGTACTGAAACTGTGTAGCTTTTTAACACAGAGAGGGAGTGGTTTGGCGTTGAACATTCTGTTAAGGAAAATATTTGACTTTTACACATAACTATTAACTATATATTAAATATAGTTTAAAGCCTGTATTTTTTACTCTTTAAGATGAGCTTGTAAAGCATCTTGTTTGTTTGTTTGTTTCCTAGGTTTCTCAGTTTGGATGCAGGTCATTTGCCTTGCTTTTTGATGATATTGACCATAATATGTGTGCAGCTGACAAAGAGGTATTCAGTTCTTTTGCTCATGCCCAGGTCTCCATCACAAATGAAATTTATCAATACCTAGGAGAGCCAGAAACTTTCCTCTTTTGTCCCACAGGTATTGTATATAATAGCTTTCTATTTAACTAGTCTTGAAATACATAACTTTCAAAAGACCATGTATGAGTTTTATTTTTGTTTCCTGTCCCTTTGGTATGTAAAGGTAGGAATTCTTTTTCTTGAAGATGTTTCTCCAGATCTTAAGTTGGAGAAATTTTAGGGATTAATAAATGACAACTGAATAGGCAAAAGATTTTATGTATTATTTGGTACTAAGAGTATATGAACATTACCTTTTCCGGATTAGAGGACGGGAATAGTATTATCAAAGTGAAAACTAGAAAAAAGCAAATTTACATTGCATTTAACTAAGGCGCTTCTCATTTCCTTCCTACTTGTTCCTTTTTTCTGCCCTTGCTTATCTGTGTCCCTTTTCATTCCTCCTACTCCCCATCTGGGCTCTTCCTTCCATTAGTCAGAATAAAAAGGTTAATAATTTTTCCCCCTTTTCCTTTTTTTCCCCCCTCTTACTTCTCCCTTTTTCCTTCCACTGAAAATATTTTTTTCTCTCTTTTTTCCTCTCAAAATTCAGCCTATAAGAAAACTTCCCCAGGCTTGACTTCTTGTTCAGGAAGAGTTTAAATAAGTTCTAAGAAATTTTAGACTGTATTGATTTAACCATGTGTTTGTCTGTCTTGTTAAGAGTATTGTGAACTGTGAACCTTATCTCTTCTGATGCTACATGAATATTCAAGTAATGTTTAATAAGATTATACTTGGTAGTTACTTAATTCATTGCAAATCATAATCAGTATAATTGAGTTCTAAGCCAGGGGCATAATTTTGTTTTATTTTTATTATGATATCAATCCAGTCTGTTTGGCCTCTGATTGAAACTGAGAAATGTAGGCAATTCAGAGTTTGTAGAAAATGCTAAAAATTCCAACTATTTATCTTTAGTAAACTTAAATTTCTAGTGACCATAGGATCATAAGGATTGATCTGTCCCACTTCTGGAGGAGGAATATCAGGTTTTATGAATTGATTTTTTTTTTTAATACATAAATGAGCTAGTTTGTTGACTTCTTTGGGGGCATGAGATAGAGGCCTTTTATCATTTGGATGAAAATAGTTTAAAATTTACAGACATTTTTATCTCCATTAAAATACTCATGACTATTTCATTCCTATTTTACTGATTAATTTTTCCCCCTACATTCAGAATATTGTGGCACTTTCTGTTATCCAAATGTGTCTCAGTCTCCTTATTTAAGGACTGTGGGTGAAAAGCTTCTACCCGGAATTGAGGTGCTTTGGACAGGTAAGTTTTAAACATTTATACAATAAAACTTTTAATTAACTAGGATCTAGAGAGATTGGTTGTTTTGGTTAATTGTATACTTTGCTGAGGCTTAATGAGATTCTCTTTCTTTTACAAAGTATACACTCTTCACTTAGTATTAAGAATACCTTTTGAGGATTTTGCAGTGAGTGAATATCAAAATAATTTATTAATTTTTATTTTCGTTGTGGTTGCACTGCATCTTTGTTGCTGCCCACAGACTTTCTCTAGTTGCAGCTGCGGTACACAGGCTTCTCTTTCCAGTGGCTTCTCTTGTTGCAGAGCCCAGGCTCTAGGGCACACGGGCTTAGCTGCCCTGCAGCATGTGGAATGTTTCCAGACCAGGGATGTCTCCTGCACTGGCAGGTGGATTCTTATCTACTGTACCACCAAGAAAGTCAAGAATGTTGTATTTTATGAAATGAAAGCCTTAATGCTAGATTGACAACTAGTAATTGATGAGCTGTATTAGCTTTCATTCTAAGAATTAAGGGAAGAAGCCCTCCCAGGGTTTAGGTTAATTAGAGTTTGTCTAATTGAGGATATATTATATTGGAAAAAAATTGTTTACATGGAAAATTTGTTTCTTATTAATGTATCATTTTGAGGAAACTTGCCCAAACCTTTAATATTTGTGTCTTCTAAACACTAATTCTAGGAATTTACTCTGAGGAAATACTGATTGAGCAAGGGGATTAAGCTGAGTAGAAGCACATGTTGCTGTGTTGTTTTAAAAAGAAAAATTGTTTAAAAATATAACAAAAAGTTACATACAGTATATTACTGTTTTGAAAAACCATGTATGAGAGTCTTTTAATAAATGATGGCCTTATTTCTAGGTCCTAAAGTTGTTTCTAAAGAAATTCCAGTAGAGTCCATTGAAGAGGTTTCGAAGATAATTAAGAGAGCTCCAGTAATCTGGGATAACATTCATGCTAATGATTATGATCAGAAGAGACTGTTTCTGGGCCCATACAAAGGAAGATCCACAGAACTCATCCCACGATTAAAAGGAGTCTTGACTAATCCAAATTGTGAATTTGAAGCCAACTATGTTGCTATCCACACCCTTGCCACCTGGTACAAATCAAACATGAATGGAGTAAGGAAAGATGTAGTTATGAGTAAGTAAATGATTTAATTCTTGACCCTGGGAAGAGATTGGGGGTAACTAGAACCATTGGTGAGTATATGTTCTTTTGTCATCAAGAATTTTTTTAAGGTATTATTTAGTCCTGTGAATGAGATGTAAATGATAGAAAAAGGGCTCCCTGGAGTGACTTTGGGCAAGTTACTTAATAACTTTTTGGCCTCAGTTCTTTGTTTTTAAAATGTGACTTGGCCTTTAAACCTGAGTAACTAGACAAAGTAGTCTTAATGTTCCTGTTACCCCTTGAGTAATTCTGATTGAATTTATGTTTTCAGATGATTATATTTAAATGGTGTATTTTAGATGGCTAGGTATTCTTATCTGAGTTGCTTACTATGTAATTTCAGTTTAGCTTACATTTATGAAACATATTCTTATTTTAGACATTGGCTCACTGATTTTTATTTATGAAAAATTCTTAATTGAATTCCAGGTAAGAAAATGCTGACTGGTTGTTTATTCATTAACATTTCAGTTCTGTTCAGTCTCTCAGTCGTGTCCAACTCTTTGTGATCCCATGAACTGTAGCATGCCAGGCCTCCTGCCCATCACCAGCTGAGAGTCCACCCAGACCCACCTCCATCGAGTCAGTGATGCCATCCAACCATCTCATTCTCTGTCATCCCCTTCTCCTCCTGCTCTCAATCTTTCCCAGCATCAGGGTCTTTTCAAATGAGTCAGCTCTTCGCATCAGGTGGCCAAAGTTATTGGAGTTTCAGCTTCAACATCAGTCCTTCCAGTGAATACCCTGGACTGATCTCCTTTAGGATGGACTGGTTGGATCTCCTTGCAGTGCAAGGGACTCTCTAAGAGTCTTCTCCAACACCACAGTTCAAAAGCATCAGGTCTTCAGCACTTAGCTTTCTTTATAGTCCACCTCTCACATCCATACATGACCACTGGAAAGACCATAGCCTTGACTAGACAGACCTTTGTTGGCAAAGTAATGTGTCTGCTTTTTAATATGCTGTCTAGGTTGGTCATAACTTTCCTTCCAAGGAGTAAGCATCTTTTAATTTCATGGCTACAGTCACCATCTGCAGTGATTTTGGAGCCCAGAAAAATAGTCAGCCACTGTTTCCCCATCTATTTGCCATGAAGTGATAGGACCAGTTGCCATGATCTTAGTTTTCTGAATGTTGAGCTTTAAGCTAACTTTTTCATTCTCCCCTTTCACTTTCATCAAGAGGCTCTTTAGTTCTTCACTTTGTGCCATAAGGGTGGTGTCATCTGCATATCTGAGGTTATTGATATTTCTCCCGGCAATCTTGATTCCAGCTTGTGTTTCGTCCAGCCCAGCATTTCTCATGATGTACTCTGCATATAAGTTCAATAAGCAGGGTGACAATAGGAGCCTTGACGTACTCCTTTTCCTATTTGGAACCAGTCTGTTGTTCCATGTTCAGTTCTAACTTGCTTCCTGACCTGCATGTAGGTTTCTCAAGAGGCATGTCAGGTGGTCTGGTATTCCCATCTCTTTCAGAATTTTCCACAGTTTATTGTGATTCACACAAAGGCTTTGGCATAGTCAATAAAGCAAAAATAGATGTTTTTCTGGAACTCTCTTAGATACCTATTTATCAGACACTAAGGATTCAAAGAATATAATAGTCCCTACTTTGAAAGAATTAGTCTGGTGTTAAATAAAACAGGTAAGGAACTGTACTATAGAATGATGAGTACTGAGAATAATTATCTACAGAGTCCTGGGGGGAACACAGAGGAGGGGGTGGTTGATTACCTCTCTTAAGCAAAAGTGGGTAAACGACTTCATGGAGAAGGAGATACTTAACACTGAGTGAAAATATAAGAAAGCCTGTTGGGCATTAAAAGATTGGCGGGCTAGAGATGAAAACACTGTCAGTGGACATTTATCAATGATTTGTCCAGTGATTCTAAAATTAGTGTCTATTATTTAATTTAGGATTTTACATTTGGCAATGCATTTAGATGACTATGGGATTCCCTGGTGGCTCAGACGGTAAAGCGTCTGTCCGCAGTGTGGGGGACCTGGGTTCGATCCCTGGGTTGGGAAGATCCCCTGGAGAAGGAAATGACAACCCACTCCAGTACTCTTGCTTGTTCCATGGATGGAGGAGCCTGGTGGGCTACAGTCCATGGGGTCGCAAAGAGTCGGACACGACTGAGCAACTTCACTTAGATGACTATTCTAGGTGAAGTGGTTCAGTGAAGGGTCTTGGTTGTGTTTGCATTATTATGCTTAAGGTTTGTTCTTGTTCTGGTTCTTCGCCTCTCCAGTTTTACTGTAAGAATTAGTGTTTTGTAATCAAAACTGTTTTTGTGCCCTTTCTCTGTGTTGCAGCTGATAGTGAAGACAGTACTGTATCAATCCAGATAAAGTTAGAAAATGAAGGCAGTGATGAAGATATTGAAACTGATGTACTCTATAGTCCACAGATGGCTCTGAAGTTAGCTTTAACAGAATGGTTGCAGGAGTTTGGCGTACCTCATCAATACAGCAGTGAGTTTGGCCTTTGTAAGAGGGTTGGGTTAAATTATTTGAGACATAAAGAACATTTGTGATGTCTTATTACAGGCCCACCAAGCAAAATGAAATTTAGGAATCTAGAGAATAAGGTTTTTTAAATTTTACTTTTGGCCTTAAAAAGATTTTATCTTGGAATGCTAATTTGCCTTTTAAATTTTTTTTTTTTTTTAATGTTCAAAGATACAGATCTTCAAAAGAGAAGAAAATAAATAGGTGTTGCCATATTTATGATGTGTGTTTCCCCTCTCTTCCCTTCCTCACCTCCTAGTGGTTTAGAGAAGTGGCACTTTTTCTTAGGGCTCATATTATTTGAAATCTCAAATTGAGGCTTATAGTTACAGATATGATAAGTAGAAAACATTTCTGTGGATCTTATTTGTTCTATTTCTCATTCTGATTATCTTTCTGGCAATTTGTTTTTATAGGCAGGCAGGTTGCCCACAGTGGAGCTAAAGCAACTGTAGTTGACGGGGCTCCTCTAGTTGCAGCACCCTCTTTAAATGCCACAACTGTAGTTACAACTGTTTACCAGGAGCCCATTATGAGCCAGGGAGCAGCCTTGAGTGGTGAGCCTACAGCCCTGACCAAGGAAGAAGAAAAGAAACAACCAGATGAGGAACCCATGGACATGGTGGTGGAAAAACAGGAAGAAACAGACCACAAGAATGACAATCAAATACTAACTGAAATTGTTGAAGCTAAAATGGTGGAGGAATTGAAACCAATGGACACTGATAAAGAAAGCATCGCTGAATCAAAATCCCCAGAGATGTCTATGCAGGAGGATTGCATCAGTGATATTGCCCCTATGCAGACTGATGAACAGACAAACAAGGAGCAGTTTGTGCCTGGTCCAAATGAAAAGCCTTTGTACACTGCAGAACCAGTGACTCTGGAGGATTTGCAGTTACTTGCTGACCTATTCTACCTTCCTTATGAGCATGGACCCAAAGGAGCGCAGATGTTACGGGAGTTCCAGTGGCTTCGAGCAAATAGCAGTGTTGTCAGTGTCAATTGCAAAGGAAAAGACTCTGAAAAAGTGAGTATACTTAATATACTTGCTTCTCTGGCCTGGATGGATCCCCATGCTGATGATATGGAGGAGGTCTTAAATGAGAATTGGCCACATCTTAGAATGTGTTCTGTAAAGTAGGTACAGACTCTGCTGAATCATGCGCTTCCATAGTTTGACCTTACAGTAGTTAGGAATGAAGGAAGGTCAAAGTTGATGGACATTTTAGGAATATTTGGGGAGACTTAGACTTTTATTGCCTATCTTTAGAAGTTTAAGCCCTGTTATTCTTTAATGTTGAGGGTAAATTTGCAGGTACTTGATAACATAAACTGCTTAGTTCATAACTGTGCTTTAGATTATGTTTTTAAACTTCCAGTTTTTTGAGTGTTGTTATTGATCCTCAATAGATTGAAGAATGGCGGTCACGAGCAGCCAAGTTTGAAGAGATGTGCGGACTAGTGATGGGAATGTTCACTCGGCTCTCCAATTGTGCCAACAGGACAATCCTTTATGACATGTACTCCTATGTTTGGGATATCAAGAGTATAATGTCTATGGTGAAGTCTTTTGTACAGTGGTTAGGTAGGTGCACCAGGAATAATCTCTTCTCAGATATATTGTCCCTTAAAAGAAAAAAAAAATTATCCCACAGGGAGAAAAACATTTAGGGAATTGGTGAATTTCCAACTGTGTTTAAATTCCTTGCCTAGATTTCAAAGGTGTAGCTGTTGTTACAGACTTGAGGTGCAAGCCTCAGTAAACATATCGAGCACATTGATTTTTCTCCCTTGGGCTAATTCAGCATAAATATCTTGAAAATGTGTTAGAAAGTACTGACTTTAACTTGTTCTGACTGAATGCTTCCTGGATGGAACCATGTATACCACTTCTATCTGATTTGGAGATGAGACTCTATGAATTGTGACTATGTGAGCTCTCTGCTGCTTGCTGTGTCTTGATAACATTAATGCTGTGTTTAACAGAACAATTGCTGAAATGACCTAAGGGGCCTGGAAAGAGGAAGCCATCCTCCCAGCCCTGTGCGCATGCGAGCTTTAGTGGTAGGCTATTCTGGTGCTACCTGGTATTATTTCATAGGACTTTTTCTTTATCCCTATACCAAGTAATTGGTTTAGCAGGGGATAAAAATTGCAAACCCCTGAAAATGTTGCTTCATTAAATGGAAGTTCTCCAACAGTGAACTTTTTTTTTTTTTAAAGTTCTCAAGCTTGGTAAAAAGCACCAGCATGGCCAGGCTTCTCCAGGGAATCTCATTTCATTTTCAGGTTTTCAGTCCAGGTATAAGGAATATGTAATGGACTTATGCATAGTACACAGCAGGCAGCAAGGCTAACTGACATGTCAATTTTCATAGTAGTCACAAACACTATGATGGGTTACATAGTCTTGGTTGTGAAATAGAAATATGAAAAACACTGTGAGCTTACAGTTACTCAGGAGTGGTAGCAAAGAGATTTCTCACTTTCTGTGTATATACTTTTAAATTCTTAAATATATATAAAAAAATTTCCTTTGATACAACTAATTAGCAGCTAAAAATAGTCTGATTGTTAATTTGAAAATAGAGGGAATTCCCTGGCTGTCCATTGGTTAGCACTCCACACTTAACATTGCAAGAGGTATGGGTTCAATCCCTGGTTAGGGCACTACCCGCAGGGCATGGGCAAAGACAAAAAATAAAAAAATAAATTGGGAAAAAAAGAATATAGAGAACTTTGGGTTCCTGTATATATCGCACAACAGGTAGAAGAGAGAATTGTGACCTCTTCCTGTTAAAAGGCTCCAGGATACCTCTTCTGTGTGATACTTGTCTGCTTTTAGGCTTAGGAAAAAAACCTCTATTGTTTGTTGGATGGTGGCATTTGCCTTCCAGGGGATATATTAACCTTTATAGGGATCAAAGTCTTAAATTTCCAACCTATAATCCAGATTATTGGGTTTGAGAAAATGTTGCTTGAAACATTGGCTACTTAGCTTTCAATTCAAAAATTATTAAAAACTCTTGATTATATACAGTATTGCTGCATTTTCCTCTCAGGCTTTTACCTCTGTACTGTGCAGTTCTGGAGGCAGCTTTCCCTAATTGTATATAGCTGTCGTACAGTCTCAAGGTCAGAGTATCTTAGAAGTTTTAAGTAATCATCTTGGCATCCACATAGCTTCCACAACAGCTCACTACAAAATATTTTTATGGTTCTGTAGTAATTTCAGGGAGTTACTGATTAGAACCCTTTGTTTTCCTCCAGTCTCCACTCCAGCTGGCATTCAGTCCTTTAAAGAATGTGGCTATGCAGTACTTTTGATTACTAACGACTTCTATTATCTTCTTCCCCATTGTGTACAGATGGGAGAATCCTCAGCACAAGTTCTACTACTATTGGATGGACAGCGGCAGATGTTCACAGCGCGTCATGATTAATTAGTTTAAGTTAAAAGGTTCTGTGAGGTAGCTCAGGTAGATTTAAGGGCAGTAGGCATGAACTGAAGTCACGTTTGCGCAGCGACTGAGGCATTAACCATGTTTTCATTTATACAGCTCTTCGTACATGCAACTTTTTATTGTAATAGTTGGAAGTGCTAGTTATGTTGTAGTCTCAAAGTGGGGGGTAGGGGAAATTGGCCGTTCCTTAAAGTTTGAGTGGTATAGTTTTTTTCCTGCAGTGTAAATTTACACTGAGCTATGGAATGGGGCAAGTTCTCTTCATAACCAAAATTTTTACCCTATTTCATATTTATTTAACAAATACTACATTTTATATATATATATATTTAAGTACCCCTACCCCTGAGAAATGACAACCCTGGATATAATCTCTTAATGGGTCTGAATTGTCAGCAAAAAAAATTGGTTTGCTTTGGGACTGTCTGACTAGCACACTATATATTGTACTGATGAGACTGTTAACTTGAACAGGAGGTAGAATGCTGTCTTCAGTTGGAAAAGAACTATATTGCGCTGCTTTATCTTGTCAGAAGACTAGGCAGGTGATTGTGATTTGGCCTCCAAATTATCTTTTAATTTTTCTCTTACTACTAGCTTCCTTAATTGCCTATGGAAGGCAATTATAATTTGCTTTTAATTCTCTCTCATTATTAGGTTCCTTAATTGCCTGTGGAGTGGGTTAAGTGGTGACCTTAAATGCAGATTTTTGGGCCTCAAAACCTGCCACTCCATGTATGAACTAAGTGCACCACAAAGATAATGGTTGCTCAGAGGAGCCAGATACTGTCATACTTTTAAGAAAAGTATGTTTTAGTTCTGGACAAATTAGGAGCATCAGTTGGCTCTCTTTAGTTCTCAGAATCTGTCAGACTGGTATTGTTACCAATTCAGCCAAGTCTGAATTTGAATTGTCCTTGTCAAAAAAAGTACTCACTGTGTTTCATTGTCAACTTACTGAATAATTTCTTTTATTCTGCTGACCTTAGTTTTCTGACAAGATTAACCCCTTTTCTCCCATTTTTCCCTTCCCTGTACCCTTCCTCAAAATGTAAAATGTGACTTCAGACAAGTTTAATTCCTTTATGGGCTGTGATAATAAAATGTGTCATCAATTTCACTTTACTTCACTTTAAAGTTACTGTACTTTTGGTAAAGAGGAAGCAGCTGCCTTGATTTTTATAGCTGTACCTAGGGAATATAGAAACGTGACTTAGACAAACTCGACACTTTCCTTCCATTAATTTAATAAAGGGTGGAACTCTTTCACTAGAACAGTGATTATTCATTAATCAGAGGAAGGAACGTCAATATTGAAATTCCATTACAAGTTAAAAAAAATTATTATCACAGCCTTGTCCTGAAACCCTGGATTATTATTGTTAGAGAGCTGTTTCCACAGTGTTTGTTAGTTTGTTGGACGTTTGAGACCCCAGGAAATCCCCTTTCTCGTAACGTTCTCCGCTTGGATCTGATCTCAACAGGGTGTCGTAGTCATTCTTCAGCACAGTTCTTAATTGGAGACCAAGAACCCTGGGCCTTTAGAGGTGGTCTAGCAGGAGAGTTCCAGGTATCAATATGAATTCACAACTGAATTGACGTTTTCTTTGTTTTATGAGAAACCTTATGTTGCGCATCAGATGGCTGGAAGGATTGGTCTGCCGAAGGCTTTCTAGTCCCAAATTCAATTTAGTTACATAGCTGGATTTTAAATCAAATTTTCCTCCTCTTTCGCAGTAATTTCTGAAGGAGATGCTGCCAATTCCCCCCCGCGCCTGCGAAGCGCAGCGGCTCTAGGTATACACTTCACATTGTTTCTTTGCAGGTCGCACAGCATTTTAATCTGCGCCCGCAATGCACAATGCGCGCATGCTTGTCTGCCAGTGGAAACTCCATGAGCAAAAAGAATAAATAATTATGCAAGTGAATGGTGAAAGGGTTTTGAGATATTTTCCCAATTATAAGTAAATTTTGTACTTGAAAGAACAGTCCAGGAATGAAAATTTAAACAAAATGCAACTTTTTTTGGTGTTGGAATTTTGTTCATGGACTTTTCAGGTGCTCTACTTTTCTCCCCCCAACAGGTGCTCTGCTGCGCGCAGCAAACTGAAGCGCATTGCTTTGGGGATAAAGCGTCTCCTGGACAGATAACCCTCTTCAGACCAAACCTCTCCTCCTGACATTCTGTTCTGCCATCTTTTAGTAGAGAGATGGTCTATATAAGATTGGTTTAAAAAAATAGATTTGTCATAATTGGAATAGATTTTTTTTTTTTTTTACTGTAAATTTAAATCCCCAGTAGTATGCCACTAAAGCTATGTAACTCAGTTTGGGTAATTTCGATTCAGAAGCATTCCCCTCCCTCAGCAAAGAGGTGTTTATATTAGTAAAGCATAGTGCACCCCTCTTCTTTAGGTCTGCCTGCAGTAGCCAGTTAATGTTAAGTTGGTAATCTGCAGTGCACACTCATTAAAAGAAGTAAATGTCTTCCCAGCACTAATCTGTCTCCCTTTTTTTTCTTCCTACAGCGTTTGCTGCCAATTGATGGGGCAAATGACCTCTTTTTTCAACCACCCCCACTGACTCCTACCTCCAAAGTTTATACTATCAGACCATATTTTCCTAAAGATGAGGTAATTGTCTACCTGCCAACTTGGAGTGTGGTTATGGTGAACACTTAATACTTTCTTTTGAACTCCCTGATGAAAAAAATCATTTTTATGTCTTAAAATACAAACTTTAGTTGGAGAAAGTTAACTGAAACATTAAACACGGGCAGTTTAAGGAAGAGCCTAAGGAGTTTAGACTCAGCATCTTGTGCTTAGTTTTTTAATTATTTATTTGTTTGGCTGCTCTGGGTCTTAGTTGTGGTATGTGGTTTCTTTAGTTGTGGCATGTGGGAGCTAGTTCCCTGGCCAGGAATCGAACCCAGACCCCCTGCATTGGGAGGGTGAAGTGTTAGCCGCTGGACCACCAGGGAAGTCCTGTGCTTTGTTTTTATCAGATGAAATGTATTCAGAGTTGGATTCCTGAACAATTTCTGTGTGATATGTTCTAGCCTGATGTTCTCCAATATATTTTCTGCAGTTTGTAAAGTGCTTCCAGGCTGTTGATAATCAGCTACAGAAAAAGGCAAGCCTGCTTAAGGAAAATCACGTTTTAAATATTTTGGATGTATAGAAAGCTGAGAGAGACTCAGCCTCATAGTTTGCTGAATTCTGAAGCCACTACTTAGTGCCTAAAACTATCCCGTGCAAGGCAGTTCTCACTGTTTACTATAACTGTGCTGTTTTCTACTGATTTTACAAATATGACTCAGTAAATAAATATTTAACAAAGCAGAGGTGATGTTTATGACAAGTCAAACATTTTGTTATTCCCTCTTCTAGAAGTCCTTTATGACTTATGAGTCATATTGTCAGTCTTTTGCCATTTTTCTTGATGTGTTGTTTAATTAGATTGTATTTTCAGGCTTCCGTGTACAAGATTTGCAGAGAAATGTATGACGATGGAGTTGGTTTACCTTTTCAAAGTCAGCCTGACCTTATTGGAGACAAGTATGTGATGAAGTATTTGTTGGATTTGGGAGTAGACATTTCAAAGGCAGGATTATCTGGTTGTGGGGAGATGAAGACTAGAAATACAGATACAGTTCTTTAGAAGTCCTGCTTTAGTTGTGATAAAATCTGGGTTATTAATATGTACAAATTTCCAATTTTTATTTATGTCAAATGTAGTTTCCACACATTGCCATTTGCGTGTATTGGGCTTTATTATATCACTGATTTCTGAAGTTTTATGTTAGTAACTTAACTCATCTGGTTTCTTTTCTTCTGAGCAGGTTAGTAGGAGGGCTGCTTTCCCTTAGCCTGGATTACTGTTTTGTCCTAGAAGATGAAGATGGCATATGTGGTTATGCCCTGGGCACTGTAGATGTGACCCCCTTCATTAAAAAATGTAAAATTTCCTGGATTCCCTTCATGCAGGAGAAGTATACCAAACCAAATGGTGATAAAGAACTCTCTGAGGCTGAGGTAATACACAGATTTAGAATTAAACAGTGGTAATTTTTTAAGAAAGTAAAGTACTTATTAAAATAAAAAAGCAAGCAGATATATCTTAAAATCCCAGTGCTTTCTAAATTTCTTACAGAGAAGAATTCTTAGGGATTATTCTTACTGGCATGGCATTTTCCACTGTTTCCAACATTTTTTAATTTGGAGCTGTTGTATTACTTTCTCAAGTGAAAGCACAGTGTTAACAATGAAAGAACCTTCTTTTTTCATTTTCTGTTTTGAAGCAGCAGACTTGTATGTTATGGTTTCTTCTTTGGGTACTCAGGGCAAGTTGAGTAATTAAAAATCTCATTTGTGTGCTGATGAAGCTAACTTGCTCTCTCAGTAATGCGTTTCACATGGTAGTATGAGTGAAAGTCGCTCAGTCGACTCTTTGTGACCCCATGGACTATACAGTCTATGGAATTCTCTGGGCCAGAATACTAGAGTCGGTAGCTGTTCCCTTCTCCAGGGGATCTCTCCGATCCAGGGATCGAACCCAGGTCTCCTGCATTGCAGGCAGATTCTTTACCAGCTGAGCCACCAGGGAAGCCCAGGAATACTGGTGTGGGTAGCGTATCCCTTCTCCAGCGGATCTTCCTGACCCAGGAATCGAAGTGGGGTCTCCTGCATTGCAGGCAGATTCTTTACAACTGAGCTATCAGGGAAGCCCTCACATGGTAATAGGAATGAACAATAAAAAGTTTCTTCTGCAGGATAATCTTTACTTACTCTCAATAAATACTTTCAGAGAATATACTTGGACTTATATTTGTGACATTGTCTGTTTTCTTCTGAATTGCTTCTCCCCCTTTTCTGAAATTCTCTACCCCTCTTCCCCACACCAGTGTACTCAAATTCTATTACTATTTTTTACCTTTTGCCTCTAGCTAGATGGCAGTGTAGTAAGAGGCTAGTTTGGAGTAGGCTCCCTTACTTAGAATTACATCAACATGACTGCAGCATTCTGGTGATTGAGCTGTTGATGTGTTGTTTTTCTATATCTGATGGTTCTCAGCCTAGGAACATATGAAGAGTAACCAGTGTGTCTATTACAAACTTTTTTTGGTAAAAATTGTAAAATATACATAAAATTTACTATTTTAACCATATTCTAGGGTATAGTTCAGTTGTGTTAAGTACATTCACATTTTTGTGCAAGCAGTACAAACTTTAAAAACATTGTTTTATTGTGAATTATTTAGTTTTTATTTTGAATAATTTTAGATGTACAGAAGTTACAAAGATAATAGAGTTTAGGTATACCCTTCATCCCACTTTTTACATTTGTCCTTGTCTAAGAAACCAACTTCGGTGCATTATTGTAAACTCTTCACCTTACTTTGAGTTTTTCCATTAATGTCCTTAATCTGTTCAGGATCCAATCCAGTATACTTCATTACATTTAGACAAACTTAAAAAATGAAAACGTGTCAGCCAGAATTATAAGCTAATTGATTTTGCATGTGGTAATTTTCCCATTACCAGAAGAGTTGTTATTGAATATTGCTTTCCTTTTCCTGTTTCTGAGTTCTGTAGTTGGGATATGTAGATCCATAATGAGTAGCTACTGAAAGTCAAGAGATTCATCCTGATTTTTACAGAAAATAATGTTGAGTTTCCATGAAGAGCAGGAAGTACTGCCAGAAACTTTCCTTGCCAATTTCCCTTCTCTGATAAAGATGGATATTCACAAAAAAGTAACAGATCCAAGTGTAGCCAAAAGCATGATGGCTTGCCTTCTCTCTTCACTGAAAGCCAATGGTGAGTAGATATTGTGGAGTTGCTGGTATTTGGGCTAGGTGGGGACAGGACTCTTATAGAAGTGAATTTACATTCCCTTCACCATGTACGGTTTTGCTTCTGAATTAGTGCTGCAAGAATTGCATGTGTATTAACCATTGAAAAATGCTGCTCTTTTATAATATGAATGCTTATATTAAGCCCCAGTTAAATGAGAAGTAAACGCATGAATTTATATTTATTTTTCCAGGAGATTTATAAATGATAGTTGAAAATTAAATGAACCTTGGGAAGACTTCATTTAGGAATGCAGAATTGCTGATTCTTTCTCTTGAGTTTGTTACTTAAATCTTTAAAACTACTTTGCCGTACATTCAGTTCAGTTCAGTCCAGTCACTTAGTCCACCCTTTGCAACCCCATGGACTGCAGCACACCAGGCTTCCCTGTCCATTACCAACTCTCGGGGCTTGGTCAAATTCATGTCCATCAAGTCCAACAACCTTTTAAAACTAAAAACTTCTTAGCCTTTGGGCAAGACAAAAATGAACATACAGAAGCTGAGCACTTGTTAGAGAATTGTTGATGAATGAGAAGGCACTTTGTTGCATCTTTGAATCATTTGGTTCAGTGGTGTCCCCTTTGTGGGATAATTGAAATAATTCTGTCTGAGGAAAGTATAATTCTCAGAAGTGTTGTGCTTGAAATTGAATCGTACAGGTGTGAGGTATGTCAATATAAAAAACACATTCTGGTTGTGTTGACTTGTGACGTAGGTTGGAATAGGCTCTGCTCTGTGGGTCCTTCAAAGGTATTTTGTGTGTGTGTGTATAATATTCATATGTCCATGTATACATATTATAATTATATGTCAGCAGAGCTGTTGTTTGCCTTGAGTTTTGTTCCATCCAAGGCTGGTGCCAGGCCCAACCCTACTTAGCTTCCGAGATAAGACAGGATTGGGCAAGTTCAGGGTGGTATGGCTGTAGACACTGAGGTTTTTGGACAACTTCTTTGCTAAAAGATACTCTTTCTGGGGAAGAGTTTTTACTTGCTGTTCAAAAAAGATTTTTTTTGATGTATATTTGACAAGGGTTGTCTGTATTTAAGGTGTACAATTTGATGCCTTGAAATACATTGTGAAATAATCACCATATTCAAGCCAGTTAGCATACCCATTAACTTTAGGATAGTTATCATTGCAATAGTGATGAATATTAATATCTATTGACTTTATATAAATTTTAAAAATTGTGAGAGATTTAGGGACTGGTATAGATAAGCTCCTACTGTGATCTATTTGAAATATATGAAGATTAATCACAAGTTCATAATTCTACTAATTCAGTAACATTTATATTGTGAATGTTTTGTTTTTTTCCCTAGGGTCCCGAGGGGCTTTCTGTGAAGTGAGACCTGATGATAAAAGAATTTTGGAATTTTACAGCAAGTTGGGCTGTTTTGAAATTGCAAAAATGGAAGGATTTCCAAAGGATGTGGTTATACTTGGTCGGAGCCTGTGACATTCGCTGGCACTATGAACTGTCGGAAAGTCTTAACTTCACCTGGTGGGTGGTGGTTGGGGTCTTCATACAGCTCAGCCTCTGGAGCGGCAATGAATCAGCCAATTCAGATTGGAAACAAAGAGAACTGTGTAAAACTCACTCATCATACTTAGAGATACTTACTCACTGGTTGGAAGAAGATAATACTGCTGCGAATCCTGTAGGAAAGAGATTTGGGCCTCCTTGTTGGGTTTTGTGTTCGGTGCCAGGACCTCTTACATGGGCTTATAGGGAGGTGGTCTTCAATAAATGTAGTCAGCACTGTTTTCTGCATCCAGTGTGGTTGCATTTCTCACCTAAGAGTAATGAATCACTTGTCATCCTCCTTGGCTTATTGACTGAAAATGTATCTCATGCTTTAGAGACATGACAAAGATGGGAAAGATTTGGGTTCAGAGGCCTCAGGGTGGAGAGTCCAAGTGGGATGGTTATGGCATAGTTTAAGCTGAGGAAACGATTTCACTTTGGATGGTTTTTCTGCTTTTTGTAAAGCCTTGGCTGGTTGTCTCATAGTGACCATTGGTTCAGGCAAGTTGTGATTTGTAGGGACAGATGTGCAGTTGTTTGTGGCAAAAGCCTAAAAGTGACAAACTTGTAAAAAAAAAAATTGTATATAAACTAGCTATAACCTGACTATCCTCTGTGTTTTTGTAATTTTCCTTTTGAAAATGAAAGGGTGCGGTTCAGAATGGCACTTTGAATAATGTAAATCAGTGGACGGTGAATTTTCTTTACTTTTGTCTTTGGTTTTGTTTTGTTTTTAAAAGAAGTTTTATTATTTTCAGAGTGCCTCCCACCTAGGGCTAGGCCATGACCACTTTGGGTATAAGAGCCTAACTTCATAGGACTCACAGTCTGTTGCAAAGTGCAGTCATTTCTGGAAATTAACCTCAATGCAGGTCAGCATGTGAAATGTTAGTTTTGACATCTGGCAAGTAGGGTTTGGGGACGGATTGATCCCATTTGCCCACAGGTCAGTTGTCCTTTAATTTCAAGAGGTTACTACTGGTTTTATTAAATCAGTCTTTAGTTCTTGCATGTTTGTATCTAATTTTTAAAAGAATGAGTACACTTTAACCAATGACTTATGGTTTCCCTTTTCTCTTTCCTTTAACCACAGGTTCTGAAAGCTTCAAGTATTTTAATTTAGATTTGGTGTTTTTAAGGGTTCTGAGCAAATGCTCTTGCATTGAATCTTGCTCTGCAGGATTCATTTTCTTTTTATCATGGCTTGCTGGCTTCTCTGTAACAATATTTTGTTACCTTGCTTCCCAGCAGTTTTGTATCAGCAGTTTAAGTTTGAGCTAAGAGGGAAGAGGGTAAAGGAGAAGAAAATTTAAAACATTTTCTTTCATAGATTTCCATCAGTGTAGGCTTTGAAAAAAGTCTTCTAAGGGATTGTACCTAGTGACTTTCAACCAAAGCCTGTGAGTGTGCACCAAATGGGTGAGATGAATGAAGGAGGGTTACATTCAGGGTTAGAAACCAGCAACTGGTAGCAGGATATGGAAGGTATGTTGTACAACTGGAACCAAGTTTGCATTTTCAAAGGCTGAGATGAAGGGAGGGTCTCTACTGGCTTAATGTCACTTGGTTTTTCTCTTTTAAGTACATTTTGTACACTAGTGGACAGTTCTAGCATTTTATCCGGTGGATTCCATGGTCATCCTCCAGTGGAATCAGGATTTTCAGCAAGTTTGCTTGCAGCTTTATCTTTGTTTTAAATAATCAGTTTGGCTGGTATTCTGGTCACAGAGCTAACTATGAAACAGATGTCCAGGCTTCTAAGATCGTAAAATGCTGTGCTGTCTATCTTCTATGGTTATGGCTATTTATTATGGTTGGGATATTTCGTTGATTGTTTAGATCACAGCTCAGTTCCTGTAGAAAATGAACTGTAAAACTATCTGAAGACCATACAAGAGGCAAAATAAAACTTGAAGTGAATGTGTGTGGTCGTGTACTGTGTAAACCTCCTTGTTTCTGCCTCCTGCCCTTTTTCCTGCTCTTGCATTCCCAAGCAAGTATTCCTCCTTTCCAAAGCTGTTTCAACTTACGGACTGGGTCTTAAAGGTGGTTTTCTCCCACTTCTATCTCTAGTAAAAGATTGCCTTTTATATTTTCCTCAAGGCAAGGCAAAAAATAAAAGTAGACTCGTTTTGGCCAGGCCACGTTCTTGACACAGTTATAACCTGGGGGTAAATGAAGGCAACTAGTTTGAGTTAGTTCATGCCACGTAATAGGATAAGGGAAAGTTGAAGGCAGATCCTGAATTATGAGACAGGAGTCTAAGACGTCAATGTTGGGCTGGACTAGTCTGCCTCTTGACAGGAGCAGCAATGAGCCCCGCGCTTTCGCTAACTCCTCTGCTAGCAAGTGCCAGCATCTGGAGTTAAGTGTAGGTGTACAACCGTGTGGATAGTGAGCCGCAGGACCGTTAGAGCAGGAAGCATATCCAGGGGTGGATGGAGTGGTTTGGGCACTAAGTAAGTAACAGGAGCTCAAAGTCTTCCTCCATGCTCCGTTCCTTTGGAGGGACGGCATATCTGTATTCGCTTTTTCAAGAAAAACGATGCACTATATCGCCTTTCCTGGGAGAATTGGTAAGGCTTGGGTTTTCATGTATTTAATGAAAGCTAAGCCTGGGGTGGGTAAGGGGAACACTTGGAGTGCGAACTAGAGGAAATGGAGGCAGGAGCCACCCTCAGAAAGTCTTGGTCGTTGAAGTGAGCAAGGACGTTAATGCCAAGCTGATGCTTGACACTCTGCAAAGATGTGCAAAGCAGACGCAACATACTGCGAGACTGCTTGAGATGGTTGGATGGCATCACCGACTCAATGGACAGGAGTTTGCGTAGGCTCCAGGAGTTGATGGACAGGGAAGCCTGGCTTGCTGCAGTCCATGGGGTTGCGAAGAGTCGGACACAACTGAACTGAAGGAGACAGGGCGATGAAGCTCTGGACCCAGAGTGCCTCGCCAGCGTCTCCTTTAATAGGCGGGGCCGGAGCCGCGCGAGTCCCAGGCTTTGTACGTATCGGAGGCGGAGCCGCAGAAGGCCCTAGCAGCATGGCAGCTGGAGCAGCGGCCGCCTTGACGTTTTTGGATCAGGAGAGCCGAGTCCGAGCTGGGGGTGTCGGAAGTCTGCAAGTCCCGGCCCCAGTCACTATGGACAGTTTCTTTTTCGGTATTGAGGAAAGGAGGGGCTGAGGGTGGTGCTGGGTTAGAAGCAGGGCTGAGGAACGGCAATGCAGACGTGTGCACGCCGTGGGTGGGGGCGGAGGGGGCCTCCCGCGGCAGCCGGAACCGGAGGGGAGAGCCAGGCCCCTGCCCTAGTTGTTCGGGGTGGGCCCGGGCCGAGCGCTCCAGCGGTTCCTGACACGTGGCCGTGCGAATGGCCGGTTAGTCCATGGCTGCAGGTGAACGGGATTTGGTGAAATGCACTCCGCACACTGAAGCACATTCACACTGTTAACCTCTTCCAGGCTGTGAGCTCTCAGGCCACACCCGCTCTTTCACCTTCAAGGTAGAGGAAGAGGATGACGCGGAGCATGTGCTGGCTTTGACCATGGTAACGGGTGGGGTAGGGGGAGTGGAGGTTAATTGGTTGACCTAAACAGGCTCTACTCGCATGTCTGTTCTTCCCCGCTCTACTGGGAGTCATCTACTCTGCTTAATCCCCACGTGGGGGCTCCCCTGGCCAGGTGATCCAGGGACCTCGGAGGCTGGGCAGGTTGTAGGGTAGATGCTTCCACTTGTGGTGTCCACCCTTATTGGGGGAGACTCCGAGGCCCTATATACCTTCCCAGCTCTGCCTCACCGAGGGGGCCAAAGATGAGTGTAATGTGGTAGAAGTCGTGGCACGGAACCATGACCACCAGGAGATCGCAGTCCCTGTGGCCAACCTCAAGTTGTCCTGCCAACCCATGGTGAGTTCCCTGACCATACCTTGGGAGGCTGGGAGGTAGGAATTGAGGACTTCAGGACTTCTCGAAAGGTGGGGTAGGCTAAGAATGTGCCAGGCCTTCATCCTTGTCTTTCTCCCAGCTCAGTTTGGATGACTTCCAGCTCCAACCACCTGTAACCTTCCACCTGAAGTCAGGTTCTGGCCCTGTGCGCATCACTGGGCGGCACCAGATTGGTAAGAATTTTCTCCTTTGCCTCCAGTAGACTCGTCATCTGGACTCCTACCCCACCCCAGCCATATCTCCCAGTGCAGTTCCCATACAGACCCTGGCCTTCACTGCTACTGCTGCTGCTGCTAAGTCGCTTCAGTCGTGTCCGACTCTGTGCGACCCCTTAGGCTGCAGCCCACCAGGCTCCGCCGTCCCTGGGATTCTCCAGGCAAGAGTACTGGAGTGGGTTGCCATTGCCTTCTCCGTGGACTTTATTACTCCACTTTAAAGATCCTCCACTTTACTACTCCAGCTGTTCTTCACGGAACCTACCCCAGCTTATTCAGCTCCACTGATGTGGACTCCTTTGAAAGTGAAAGTGAAAGTCACTCAGTCGTGTCTCTTTGTGACCCCATGGACTGTAGCCCACCAGGCTTCTCTGTCCATGGAACTCTTCAGACAGGAATACTGGAGTGGGTTGCCATTTCCTTCTCCAGGGTATCTTCCCGACCCAGGGATCAAACCCAGGTCTCCCGCATTGCAGACAGACTCTTCACTGACTGAGCCACCAGGGAAGAAGCCCTTTGACTCTTTGTTATCTAGTTTAGTATCTGAGGTTTTTCCCACCTAGGCCATAAGCTTTGGGAGGTCAGAGCCCCTGCAAGCCTAGAGCCACAGGGCATGAATAAATGACATGTAGTATGAAGTGGGTGTGGCTTTAACTTCTCTTCCTCCCTTGACTGCTTGTGTACCAGTTACTATCAGCAATGATCTTTCTGAGGAAGAGAGTGAAGAAGATGGGAGTGAGGAGGAGGAAGCTGAGTTGTGTCCTATCCTGCCTGCCAAGAAGCTGGGGCGCAGGCTCTAACCCTCCCTGGTGAGTTGGAGAGGCCGGGGAGGGAACAGGAGGAGCATGTTTGGACATCGATGCTGACCCCTGGTTTGCTCTCTTCAGGTCAGCTAGCTGCCTGCCACATGCACCAGGTTCCTGGACAAGTTTCAAGAACTTTGTATCTTCTCCATTGAAGAGGGTTGGGGCGGGGGCGGGGTTGGGGGTGGGGGTGGGGGTCTGGTGCAAGGAGAACGGGTGTCCCATTCTCCAAAGGACCCTGGTGTTCTAATCCTGTACCTCACCCCGAGCTTCCCTTTTCTCCAGGAGTGGGAGGAACTCTGAACTTCTATCCTGATCTTCTCTCCCCACTTGCCTATGAGGTTGGAGGTCAGCATCTGAAGCTCAGGACTACACATTCTTAATATTTTTTACATTTTTGGATAAAGGTTGAAATAAAATGTGGATGAGGTTTTTTTGCAACTCATTTGTGTGGCTTCTTTCCCTCCTGGGGTGGCATTCCCCTAGGGACCACCAGGTGGCACTGTGGCAGCACAGAGGGTGGCCCTGGACCTGGGGAAGGGTGAGGAAATGTGGGATCCTGCTACTCCCAGAGCGCTGGGACTAGCCCAGCCCTGGGCCCCAGCTGCCTTCCTAGATGAGGACCTCCCAACACCAAGCCCCTTCCCAGTCCCTTGGTGGGGGAGGGCCATCCCAGGAGGTTATCAGCATCTAAACAAGGGGTCTGGGCCTCTGTCACCACTCAGGCTGATGGGTAGGGGGGCAGATAAGGGGGCTTAAGCAGCCTGAGGAATGTGCATCCCTGGCCCCATGAGGGGGCTCAGGCCCCAAGAGGACCTGTGAGGGGTAAGGTAGAGGCCAGTCTTTGCTCCTCCTACCAGTCATGCAGGCCATCTCTGAGCCAGCCTGGACCCTTAGAAACCTGATTCCAGGGGCCAGATGGAGGGGGCTGGCCAGATTGGGTGACAGGGAAACCAGAATCCGGGTGGCCTGGCATATGGGGGCAGAGAGGAGCCCCTGGGATTCAGCCTCCTAGGCTAAAGGGTTCCAGCCCCATAGCCCTCCACCTGGTCTGGGATGGGGGTGGAGGGGGCGGTTCTCTGGTGCCTGAATTCAGGTGGTTCTGGGGATTGACTGCTGCTGTACCAGGAAGAGAAAGGGATGTACCTGGTGTGATCATGAGTGTGTATATGACCAAGTCTGAGGTCAGTAGTTCAGCAGCTGTGTTGATGGGGCAGGGGGTCTCAGTGCCCTACAAACAAACAAACAAAAGGTTACCTCCTGAGACAGCCTGGGGCCCGACATGCTGAGGAGTGACACAGAAGAGGGCCTGGTGGGGCCAGGCCCACTCCCTCCTATACTGGCTTCTGGGCAAATGAGTGAACAAGAGGGAGGGGTCCCTGGAGAACCAGAAGAGGTTGGCATTGGAGCAGGTGTTTGGAAAGAGTGTTTCCACACCACAGAAAAGCACTCCCTTTTCAACACATCTCTGAAGGAGGTGCCCTTCTCCCTGTGGTGAGGAGCAAACAGGTCCAGTGTTTAACCTCCCTTTTTCCTAGTTGAGGATAAAGGAAGATGGTCCTTCTCTGTGTCGTAGTGGTCAGGGTCGCAGGGCCTCTTTCTTTGCTGCAGGACTTTCCTGAAGTGCTTCCACCAGAAACACCTGGATGGAGAGGGCAGCCAGGATGGGACCATTCACCAACCGGAGGCAAGGGGTCGGGAGATAGAGGAGAAGGTGGAGTTGGCGCCCTCTGGTGGGAGAGGTTGAAACAGCTTGTGGTGGTGCAGCTCGCCGCGCCGCCTCTGTAGCGGCTCTAGGCGGACGCAGCGGTGCAGGGGCCTACAGACCCCGCCAGCGGTCTACGCAACTAAGGCAGACTTCATTCGTTTGTTCGTTCATTCATTCACTGGAAGGGCTCCTGTTAGAACCCTTCTCTTCCTCCTCTCGTCTATCGCCTCCAAAGTCCTCGGCACGTGCTCGGTTGAAGGTACGGTAGCCTGGCTGAGTGTAGGGAAAAGTCGGGGAATCCTTCCCAGCCGACATTTCTACCCCCTGCAAGTGGCCCCGCCCCAATATTTACCCCCCTCGACGCCGCTGATCGCTCATTGTGAGCCTTTCTAGTTTCTTGGCGGGTCTGCCCGCGGCCCTGGCCGGCGCCAAGCGCGCTCCTACCCGCGGTGGGGGCCCAATCCACATCCGCCTCATCCCGGAGTTTCTCGACCCGACGGGGCGCCCGAGGACTGAGCCGGGAATTGTTTTTTCTCCCTCCCCTCCCTCGCCTTTCCTCGATCCCCCTTTCTGCCCTCTCAGCGCACAGTAGGAGCGTTGCCCATTCATTTAGGCCTCTGAGCGCGGAGGGCTTACGCCGGGGTTTGCAGACTGCTGGAGGAGGGGCAAGACTGTATTTGGGGGGCGAAGCGGGACGACCAGACGGGGCCTAAAGTGCTTAACACAGTCTCTGCGATTTACATTTGAACAGTCGGCGGAGGGTCTGCCGCGCTTTGAACGCCCGGCGCAGGCTGCGCGTGTTGGAGCGCAGGCGGCCCCTGCCGGTTGGTGTGGATTTGAGGGGCCCAGAGTGGGCCAGGGGCGGGGGTTGGTGGGTGGGGGGCGACCGATGCGTTTGGAAAGAGGCTGAACGTGTGTGTTTGGGTCCTTGCAACGGTGTGTTTGCAGAGAGGGGCTATTTGTGTTGGCGAGAGGTGTGTGTTTGTGTTTGCAGGGGGCGAGGGACTCTGTGTATTTGTGTTTGAGGAGTGTGGGGGCGGCCGGGAAAGGTGGCCGGGCTGTCACTCAGCGATCAGGTTGACAGGCGCTCCCTCATCAGGGCCAGGGAGCTCTGATTGCAGATTCGAGGAAACAAAATAGCAATTGTAATTACGGGGCTTTGATAAGATAAAGGAAGGAGCAAGCCGGCCGGGAGGCGAGTAAGAGCAAGGGAAGAGGGAACGGCCTGCTGGGGCCCCGATGGAATATTTACATCTGTCATTCACGGGCGTGTGTCCTCGCAGTACCCGGCGCCTGATGCTGGGGTGTCCCTATTGACACCCCTCCCCATCTAGAGACGGGGGCTTTTGGGGATATGAGAAGAATCCCCTCAAATGGATGAAGACCCAGCTGGGGGAAGTTCTCAAAATGTAGAGGAATTCTGATCTGTAGAGGCCCCCGGGTAGAGGTTAGGGTGTGGGACTCAAACCCTGACGGTCCACACTTTTAGGCCCCAGATGGCCCATCTTTGGCGGAGAGTGAGGAGGGTGGATTAAGATCATTGAGGTTCAGCCCAGAACCTTCTGGGGGCTCCAAACCAGGGTTGAACTCTGGTCTGAGCCAGGTGCTCTAGTCTCCAACCCCCACTCTGGGGAAAGGCAGGTGCCCAGAGTGACACAGGTTCTGACTCCAGGACTACACATGCTAAGGATGGGCCGGATGCCCTGACCCTGCTTGGGTCCTGCTCCTTGCTCATCTCATCAGACTGTTTTCAGAGGGCTGGTCCCTGGTGAGAAGACCCTTTTCATCCTCTGCCTCTCATCTCTCCACTTATTTACTAATACATACAAATAAACATATTCAAGGGCCTCCTAGGTGCAGGGCATGAGGTTAAGATGGTGAATATTTTGCCTGCTTGAATTAGTGTACCTGGGGATGTAGACACCCAACAACTTCTAAGACAGAGGAGCTTGAATGAAGGAGAAATGCTGGTCTAGGCTGTGGGTACAGGAGCCCACTTCACTTGTCTTCCCCCAGTGCCCACCTCCCAGTGGGGTTAAGAGGAGATGGTGCAGACAGACAGACTTTAGCAAATACAAGTGCTCAATAAATGGTGGTGCTTATGATTCTTATCTGTTGGGAGGGTGGTGAAGGCAGGTAAGTCTCCCTGGGGAGGCCCCACATGCACTGAGGTCTAAATGCTCAGCCAGTTTCCCCATTATTCATTCATTGAATACAGAATTGTAAAACCCTGCCCTGCTCTCCTGAGCTAGTAAGATATGGTCCTTGCCTGGAGGTCTGGGTGGGAAAGAGCCACTTGAGGGAACAGACTCAAGCGGGTAACAGGTGAGCTCAGGGAGTCTGCTTCTCTGGGGAGGGATGAGATCTTGGGACAAATCTCCTGATTCTGTTTCCCCATCTAGACCTTGCTCAGTGTTAGCACCATGGCTGGGAGTGGGAAAGGCAGGCCACAGAGAAAGGGAGGTAGGAAGAACTTGGCTGTGTTGCCTCTGGTCTCATGGTTTCCTGAAGCCACCCCAGCCCCTCCAGCCCAATCCCCAAGGACACGGGGGCTGGCAGTAGGGCAGGGGAGGTCTTGGGCAAGGGCAGCAGCTGGGCAAAGCATCAGTGGCTCCACCTGCTCCCCAGAAGTATCTGTCTCAGGGCATCTCTGCCCACCCAAGCTGCTCTCAAAGAAGCACCACAGCTCAGGGGTTCCTGAAGCCCCTGGAGGTAGCAATGGGCGGCTGTGAAAGGCTTAGACAACTCATTACCTTCTTTGATACTTCCCCCTCCCCCAGCGTTGACAAAGCACCAGTCGAAGTTTAGTACACAGTAGGTGTGTAAATACCTGTTCAGTGCACAAATAATGGGACTCTGAGCAAAAAAGACTAGGCAACCTAGATCTAAGTCTCTTTCCCAGGAAAAGCAGCTGAGGTTATTTTTGCACCCACTGCCTGCCGCTTTGGGGAGGGCATGGTGGAGGCAGTGACTGGGGTTTTCCGTATGGGTAGGCTCTCTCCTTTTTGGGTGGTGTGGTCAGGCTTCAGTCTAGCGTGTTGGGGGGGCGGGGAGCAGGGGTGATGGTGATAATGAGAGAAGGAAGCAGGAAGGGAGATGTTTCTCGATCTTAGGGCCTTCTTGGTGACTGAGCGAGGCAGGAGAGACCGGCAAGGCAGGGTACTCAGCAGAAAGATGGGGGTGATTGTCGGCTCCTGGTCGCACAAGCACGCACTGCCAGAGGAAAGCGCATAACCGTTCACCCCAGTGTCAGCTCCTACTTGCAGGCGGCAGCCCCGGACAGACAGCACACAGTAGGTGGCTCAGAGAACCGCCGTCTAGCTTGAGGCTTAAGCGGACCGGGTCCCACGGTGCAGACCGGGCGCCTTCCCACTCGGGCGCCCGGGAGGTCCAGGAAACTCCAGCAGAGGGGCTCGGGACTCCACGGGGTGGGCGGCCCGATGCGCCCCCCCATCCCCGCGCGCCTGGACCCCAAGAACGCGCAAGGGGACAAGTCCGGGATGCAGAGAGGCGCCCAGACGGGCCGCCCCCGCCCCTTGCAGCGGGTCCCCAGACCCCTCCCCTCACCCAGACCCCCAATCCCCGACCCTCCGACCGCCCCGCCCCGGTCCGCCCCGCCCCCGCCCCGGGCTGCGTCCTGGCCCCCGCTCCCAGCCGGGGGCTGCGGGCTTCGGCCGCCCGCCCCGCGCTCCCCCCTCGCGCCGGGTGCGGCGCCCCCCGCCCCCACCCCTCCCCCTCCCTTCCCACCTACCCACCCCCCCTGCCGGCCCGTTACCCTCCCTCCCGCTCCGGCTCCTCAGCAGCCAGCGGCCAACGGCTCCGGCTGCGGCGCAGAGGCACTCGGCGCGGCGCGGCGAGCTCGACATTCCCTGGGACCCGCGGAGCCGCGTCCCGATCGCCCGGGCTCCCGCCCTCGAGCCACCCTCGAGCCCCCCTTCGCCGCCGCCGCCACCCTCGGCTAGTCGGTCCGCTGCCTCCCGCGAGCCGGCGAGATCCCGCCGGGGCTGTGCGTGCTCCCCGGCCGCGCGCCATGGGCAGCCCCCGCTCGGCGCTGAGCTGCCTGTGAGTACCGCCGCCCCGCGCCCCCGGCCGCGCGCCCGCCCGCCCGCCCGCCGCTCACCCCGCGCCCCTCTGTCCCCACCCGCTTTTGTCTCCCACAGGCTGTTGCACTTGCTGGTTCTCTGCCTCCAAGCCCAGGTAAGGCGCACGGCGCCGGGGCCGGCGGGGCGCGCCGGGGCCGGCGGGGCACGCCGGGGGGCGAGGTCGGGCAGGCCGGGGCAGGAGGACTGACCCGCGCGGCGGGCTGGAAGGGCTGGGAAGCATCTTAGGACTGCAACCCCTAACTATCCCGAGGAGGAGTTAAGGACCAGAGAGGTAGCGCCGGCCTCAGGTCACACAGCCTGTGAGAGGCGCGAGGCTGGAACCCGAGGTTTCGGAGTCTGGCGCTGTCTTCCACGCCTCGCAGCCAGGTGGGGGTGGTTGGGGAACTCGGCGGGCAGCCACTCCCGGCCGCGCGGAGGAAGGGGGCATTCGGGGCCAGGGGGCGTTCGATGTCAGAGGTCCGGTGACTGCCTCAGGGACCCTCTCCGCGGCTCTCTGGGGGGACTTGCGGCGGGTCTGGCCGAAAGATCAGGTGCCCGGGTCTTCTGTGGTCTCAACATTTGCTCCGTGAATTTGTCTTTCTAAGTGTCAGGGGTCGGGCCGCGCTGCCTCCCGACTTAAAAGCGCCCTGCTCTTCTAGGAAGGCCCGGGCGGGGGGCCTGCGCTGGGCAGGGAGCTCGCTTCCCTGTTCCGAGCTGGCCGGGAGTCCCAGGGTGTTTCCCAACAGGTGGGTCCAGATCCTTCCCCATCCCGGGCGCATCCATGCTGGACTGGGTCTGTCCGACTTTCCTGGGTAGGGTGGGGGTGGTCCGAACTGGCATGTTGGGGGGACCCCAGCCCCTGCCGGTTGCCTGGGGCAGTGGAGGGAGGTGCCGGGTAATGGGGGCCACTCGGGCCCCTGGGCAGGGTAGCATTATAATGGCGTGTTGTGTATTTTTCAATTTCCTAAAGGTAACTGTTCAGTCCTCACCTAATTTTACACAGCATGTGAGGGAGCAGAGCCTGGTGACAGATCAGCTCAGCCGCCGTCTCATCCGGACCTACCAACTCTACAGCCGCACCAGCGGGAAGCACGTGCAGGTCCTGGCCAACAAGCGCATCAACGCCATGGCAGAAGACGGGGACCCGTTCGGTAAGGAGCTACACTGCGCTGGGGTTAAGGTAGCCTGCGGAGCGCGCCCCTCGTCCCCAGGCTGGCCTGCTTTGACGGGACCCAGCAGTCGCATCTGCGTTGAGCTGAGGCCTTCAGGCTCCCCAGCTCAGAAGGGAAGGAGTTATGGCCACAAAGCATCTTGGGGGTCAGCTGGAGAAGAGAGGTCTGGGGAAGGGACCCCGGGGAGTACTTGGCCCATAGGTGCCCTTTCCTGCCCAGCAGATGAATGAATCCAGGAATCTCCCTTTCCACCTCCCCCTCTCATACCCCTCCCCACTGCAGGTGGAGGCAGAGGGTTCAGGGGGAGGGGGCCCAGGTTTAAGGGAAGCTCTTGAAAGAGGATATGTCACCAGGGCCCACAAAAGGAGAGTGGGAAAGAGAAGGGAGAGAAATCCCCTCAACTCTCCCAAGTTGGGGGTGCGGTGTACTTCGAACCTTAAATACTTTGATCAGGAGGGTCAATTACACATGGGGACTAGGCTAGGAAAGGGGCCTTCCCCGTTTCACTTGTCCAGGAACCCAGGCGGTCGGTCAGAGCGGGGCTCCTGGCTCCCGGTGGGGTGGTGAGTGCAGAGAGCTACTGTGGGGTGGAGAGGCTGAGGACTGATTGATTTCTAAAACATTCAATATTCCTGCCTTGAAACAAGGCCAATTTCCAGAGTCCTGGATGTATCAAGAGAAAAGCAAGTCCTCTGGGCGGCTGGTGTTGTTTTTAGAGAGCGATTATTGTGAGTTTAAAAACCTTTAAATAATGACCAAGTTAAACAAGCATGAAAGGAGAGGGGAAGACTCTATTAAAATGTAATAAAAAGGTGAAGCATTTTAAGAGCTAAGAAGAAAAATGAAGAATGATATAAAACAGAAAAAGAACGAGGCTTTTTTTCAGATGTGGAGTTTGAAAGGAGTTGCAAGTCTGTAAATGTTAAAAGAGAGGTTCAAGATTGTTCTCTATGAATCTCTGGAGAGACCCCCGCGTCTGGCAGAGCGATTAAAACTCTTCTTACTTTCACCTTTTTTAACATTTCCTGAATACTTTCTCCTCTTCTCGAGCCAGTTTGGGGGATCGAGTATGTCTCGCTGCATTTTTTCTGCATCGACGTAGCTGACTTCCCTTCAAAGCTGGAGAAGGAGACATAATTTTCCTGGGATAAATCTGTCACTGGGGTGGAAGAATAGGTTTGAAAATGTTAAGCTTTCCAAAAGCCCGGTCGGGAAAGCCGCTGTAAACTGCCGCCCCAGCTCCCCAGCTCCATCCAGGAAGGAGAGTGGGGGCTTTCTGTGGTGGGGGTTGGGGGCGGCCTGCCTGGTGGCCGAGCTCCCCCGCTGGGCTGGCAGGGCCAGCCTGCCGTCCCTTTGTCCCTTCAAACTGGCTGCTCGTTGCCCTTCTCAGCTTCCAAGGAAAGGGAATGAATGCCTGGCTCCTCCTGGGTTTGCTCCATTGGAGCAAATGGTCCAGCATCCTTGGGGTTTGGGGAGGGAAGAAGACACTAAGCTGGTCATGGGGGGATTCATCTTCAGACATCAGAGGTCTGATGCCCACTTCTCTTCTTACAATTATAGAAGGCTTCCCAGGTTCCCTGGTCCCTGCCTGGTGGGCAGGAGCAGGAGCTGGAGGGCCAAGAGCAAAGGTTTAGGGTGTATAGCCAGGACAGGTAGAATCTGGGGGAGAATGGCAGAGAAGTCCCCGGGGCTTCCTTATGGGCCCCAGGAAGGGACAGAGGGCTCCATTCCTTTCTGCCTTGTTTGGTCAGACCCCCCTCTTCTCCAGTTGGTGTCCTTCTTAGCCCTTAAAAAATAGTTGCTTCTTGCCCTGAAAAGCAGAACAGGAAAGGGATGGGCAGACTGACTGGATCCAAGAGGAGCTGGGTGGGAGGGGAGGTGACAGCTGCATTTCCCTGGCTGACTTGGAGCCAGACTGGGGACTTGGCTACTGGGTCCCAGCTCTATGCTTCTGCAAAGGGAGGCAGGCAGTCACAGGCTGGGTGATGAGGGCTGCCTTGCTGACCTGTGCCCATCACCTCCCATTAGTTTCAGGGTCAGAGAAGGTGCCACCTTGTCAGAATAAGCTGGGAGGTAGCCCTGGGAGTCCCCAGCCTTCTTTCTCTGAAGGAGGGAGGGAAGGAGATCTAGCCCCTTTGGTTCCATCCCAAACAGCTAAGTTGGTCCCCACTCTCAAAGGGAGGAGTTGTGCAGAGAGTGGGTAAGGGCCAGGGCTTCTATGGCAAGCTGGTTGTCTAAGGGAAGAGGTAAGAAGGCACAGGATTCAGCTCCCTGTCTCCTGGCTCTTGAGTGAGAGGCAAGCACACATGATTTTCTCTTCTCCTCCCCTACAGAAAGTGTTTGGTCACTGGGGTAAGAAGCCCAGTGATGCTAGAGGGGGTGCAAGAGAAAAGACTATTGAGTTACTGATTTCTGAACACTGAGACTGGGGTCTGGGGTGACTAGGAAGTATGGGGAAGAGACAGTATCCTCCTAGTTGGTGTCTGAGGTTAAAGGAAAGCAGCCAGCCATGGGCTGTGTGTGGAGGGAGAGCTGTCCTCATCCCTGTCACCTTCTCAGCAGAGCTGGGGTGGAGGGCGGGAGATGTGGGGTGGGGCAGGGTGGAGTGGGTTGGGGTGGAGGGTGTCCGGGGATGGCCAAGGCTGTGGGTTGGAACCCAAGGTATCAGAAGCAAGAGAGAGTGCTTTCATGTTTGATCTCAGGAATGGAGGTCACCACTGCACCTGGATGTTTGTAATAATCTGTGAGGCACGTACATATAATATTTTGAGTTGGAAGAATCCTCATAGATCTTTTGATTGGCAGTGGAATTCTAGTCAAATTAAATTTTACTTGAAGCCTCGACACAAAAGTCATTACTGTCTGGTTATAAAAGAGGATCTTCAGTTTGATGGCTCTAAGACCCCTCTGCATAAACCAGTTCAGATACCATGATCTCATCCATTCCCCCTCTGTAAACCCAGGCGAGGGGCCTGAAGCCCAGAAAGGGGACTTGACCTTTCCAGGGTTGCACAGCATATTAGTGGCTGGAGCCCACGGCCTGGGCATCTGGCCCTTGGAGCAGCTGCTTCTGGGATGGGCCAGCCGGGGTAGGGACATGCAGCACTGGAGGTCAGGAAGCTGCCAATAACCACCCCCACCCCACCCCAACCTTTCCTGACAGCAAAGCTCATTGTGGAGACAGACACCTTCGGGAGCCGGGTTCGTGTACGAGGAGCTGAGACAGGCCTCTACATCTGCATGAACAAGAAGGGGAAACTGATTGCCAAGGTGAGGTCCTAGAGAGAAGGGAGGGACTGGCTGGGGCCTGGGGAGCAGGCTGGGCTGGCTGAGCTCCTCCAGGATCCCAACAAGGTGGGCAGAGAGGCTGAGGGCCACCTTGGGGTTACCTAATGATTGGGGGGGGGAGGTGGAGGAGGTGAGGGGGGAGGTAACTGAGAGATGAAAAGCTATAAAGGCAAAGGAGGGAGAAGGAAGGCTAGGGAAGGGGCTGGGGAGGGGGTGTCGGTAAATTCCATATATCTTTTTAACAAATCGCCAAATTGCTTTGCTATTATGTCCAATTACATGGTACCAGCATTTGGAATGTTCAGTAAGCCGAGGGCCCAACCCCTCAGCCGAGCTCTGAAATGGCCCCATTAGTCACGGCTCCTCTCCAGCCTCGAGCTCCCTGCTTCCCTGGCTTCTGGGGCCTGGGGCTCAGCATCTCCTCACCAGCCTTCCCTCCCCCATAGGGTGGTGGCCCTGGGGCTGCAGGTCAGCATCCTGAGATGGCTGAGCGGGGCAGGTGGGGAAACGGGTGCTAGCAGCTTGGGCCAGACTGGTGGGCAGAAGGCCAGGGTGGGCAGGGGCTGGGCCCCCTCTCGGCCCCTCTGTGTTGGGGCCCAGCCTCTCTGTAGACAGCCATGTGTCACTGCTACCCAGGAGGACAGGAAGTTGCCGGGTGGGCTGTGAGTTGTGAGGGATTAGAGAGCGGGTGCCCACCCTACCATCTGCTGGGGTGCCCACCTGCTGTCTGGGGCCGCCTGCCCTCTGCCTAGGATGGGAGGGGGCTCCGGACAGAGCCGGGTGACACCGTGTCTGCCCCCCACCCTGCAGAGCAACGGCAAAGGCAAGGATTGCGTGTTCACGGAGATCGTGCTGGAGAACAATTACACGGCCCTGCAGAACGCCAAGTACGAGGGCTGGTACATGGCCTTCACGCGCAAGGGTCGACCCCGCAAGGGCTCCAAGACCCGGCAGCACCAGCGCGAAGTCCACTTCATGAAGCGGCTGCCCCGAGGCCACCACACCACCGAGCAGAGCCTGCGCTTCGAGTTCCTCAACTACCCGCCTTTCACGCGCAGCCTGCGCGGCAGCCAGAGGACTTGGGCCCCCGAGCCCCGATAGGCCCTGCCGGCCCCTCCCCGCCGCTCCCCGCCCAGGTTTCCTCTTTGCAGGACGAGGTCTGCCGCTACTGAAGGCTGGGGAGGAGCCGGGAGAGCCCTGGGCTCTAGTTGTGGATAATTGTTTGCTGTTGGGTTTTTGTTGTTGTTGTTTTGTTTTGTTTTGTTTTTTAAACAAAAGAGAGGCTCTATTTTTGTATTCCACTAAGCTGTTGTGTCTGACTTCTTCACTCTCACCTAGGCTGGTGAGTGGCCTAGACTGGGATTCTGGCGGGGGTTTTCCTGGGAGTGGAGGGCCTTTTCTCATCCCGCATAGGTGCTCCTGGGACCCCAGCAGCTGCAGGGCAAGACTGCTAGATGGTCAGGGGCTCCTCTGCACCCCTAGGTGGGGGCAGAGAGGAAAGGGACTGGAACTTCAGGTTAGGTCTTTCAAGAGCAGGTGTCAGTGGAGGATGGTTGTGTACTAGTTGCTATTAAATGACTGAAATATTTATTTAATTGTATTAAAAACGTGTATTGGAGAGTGGGTCCTGCTGGAGTCAGCCCCCTCCCCCTGCGCTGCCCCAGGTGGCAGGCGGCTGAGACCCGCAGCGAATCAGGCAGCAGCTCTGACTGGAGCGTCGCTTCCACCTAAGGATCCACACCTGTTACTGGAGGGGTTTTCCTGGGAGAACAGAAACAGGGAAAGGGACAGGAAGAGGCTCTTAATCGGAGCTGATGGTAACACTTCCCCAGGCCATCTCTGGGTCGGAAATGATGACTCTGCTAGGACTGGAGCAAATCATGGATTCAGTGGGTCCTTTAAAATGTACCTTTCTGTGTACCTTGGTGTGTGTGGGAGACAGGTCAGAGATGCCTGCGCTAGTTCTGAGTATCAGACTCCAGAAGATGCAAGAAAAGAGCAACTGCCAGGGTCCAAGGTAGGGGTATGTTGTGTGGGGGTGGGGTATGTTGTGTGGGGGTGGGGTATGTTGTGTGGGGGTGGGGTAGGGCACCACAATGCTGATGTTGTCATTTGCGCCCTGAAACAAAGTGTTCACTTTGGGATATTTAGTTAGAAAGCTGTGAAGGTGCTGAGCAGAAGGTGCTGAGTTCAGATGTTGCAAAAGAGCCCAGGAGACTGAGGTCCAGGGAGAGGCTAACTTTGGAGAGACCAGGCATAAAGGGAGATGAACTGGGATTGTGGGGGAAGGGAAGCTACAAATCTAGAGCAGAACTCTAGTTCGAGCAGAACTCAAACTCTGGGCAGGAGGAGAAGCAACAGGTGGTATGTCAGAAGGACTAGCCTGTGAGGAAGGACTGCTGTGGAGGAAGGAAGACCAGGTCATGCCATGGCAGTGGTAGAGCAGGTCATTCACAGCATGGGTAAGAGAATTGGCCTGTGGTGGGTGGAGGGGTGGGTTCTCAGAGGTACACCAATGAGATTGGCATCCCACCACCCTGAGCAGAGCCCAAGCCCAGAGGCAGCAGATCTCCTGAGGTCAGAGCTGGCCTAGCCATCACAACTGAGGCCTCTCATTCCAGCTACTTATGCTGCCTTCTTTGGGCTGGTCCCACAGCCCAGTTAGTGGGTTGGAGGGCAACCCAAGCCTTCCTGACCATGTGGGTCTCTCAGAGTTGCAGCTGCAAGTCCCAGGCTCAGGCCATCCAGGTGTATCAGGAATCCCAGGGCTCAGTGGGAAGCCTTGGAGTAGAGAGGCTGGGGTACCACAGGGCCTCTTCAGAACGGCTATGGGGGTGCAGGGTTCTGGATAGAGTAGATTTCTCTCGGTGCACAGGTACCAGGGACGTGGGGACCTCTCTTCCAGCTCCCCCAGCTCTTAGTGCCTCCCCTTCTGCTCCATCCCCTCCCCTCCCCCTTTAATTAATTCTGGGTGAGCAGCCTGGCTTTATTGTGCAAGAAGCTGGGGTCTCACTGTGGGAAAAGTCACACCTTCTGAGCAGCTTCTGATGCCATGCAAATGAAGAGACCGTCCAGGAAACGCTTTCATCTGCACAGCCGCCTGTCCAGCCCCCAGCCCAGTAATTACCCACATTTCATTTGTTTGAGAGCAATTCCTGGGAGAAACCACAGAGTAGGAGGGAGTCTAGAGGGTGAATGGAATGCCAGGCTCTCCCTGCCTGTGATCCTGGGACCCAGCTGGGCCAAGGTGGTCACCAGCTAGGCCAAAGCTACCCTGAAGTCCCCTGGCTAGGGATGCCTGAGTGCTCCAGGGTTGTGGGGTGGAACTGTGCCGTGGTTGTGACAAGGGAGAAGTGGGTTGTCCAGAGAGCTGAACCTGCCTCCTGGAGAAGGGAGAGATGGCTGGTGGAGGAGTAGAGGTGGACAGGAAGGTGGTGATATGATCCTTGAGGTGGCCTGGGGCTTTGGGAAGGAGTTGACTCCCAGCAGGACGCCTGACAAGGGACCCTGGGGAGCTGATGCCAGAGCAATGGGGCAGAGATGGGCCAGAGCACCCACCACCTTGTTTATCTTTGCGTTGCTGCCTCCACAGAACCCTCACTAATAGGGTTTTACAGCCCACTCAAGCTGCAACTGGCCAAGAATCAATCATTACCGGCACTTAGTGGTTTGATAGTTAACAGCCTGAACTGAAGCCAAACTGGTTGTTAACTGTGATAACAACTGATTTCAAGGGGTTATTGCCGGCCCAATATGCTCAACCCATTTATTTCGGGGAAAACAAGCAGGGAGCTGTTGCAAAGCCCAGAAAAGGGAGGAGGACTGGGCTTTTCGGCAGCCAAAAGGCCTGCCGCTCTGTCTCGGAGTGGGTGCTGGCTGTGAGAGCCCTGGGCCCTGGCTGAGGCATGCGTGGAGGCCTGTCTGCCAGAATTCACTGAGGATCTATGCATGGGTCTGGGCGATCCCCTCAGGTTCTTCCTTCTTTCCAGCTTTCACCTCACTCTGATTCCCCATGTCCCCTTTCCTCCTCTTCTTACAGCAGTGATCCCCATGAGGCCCTAACATGGACAGTTCTCCATGAGGAGGAGCCCAAGCCTAGTGGCCAGGCCTCTGCTTGTCCCCACTCAGCAGGCAGGGCTGGACCTCTTTACCCATTCCTTCCTACCTGGGGCTTCCAGAGCCTAGCCCAGTCCAAGCTAGAACTTTGCCTTTCATTTCAAAGCCAGTGTTGACTCCACCCAAGCCCTGACTAGAAAGGATACATGAGAGGCCTCTCGTCTCACTCCACCAGGTCCTGTCCATCCCCACCTGCTACCCTCAGCTGAATGGCCACTGGTGAGGCTATGGCCAAGCATCCTTCTAGAAAGCTGCTGCAGCAAAGGACCCCAGGAGTTCTCCACCTTCTACAGATAGACAATCTGAGGCCCAGAAGTCACAGAGCCAGCATGAAAACTAGTATGAAAAAGCCAGGTTTTAACTCCCAGACCCAGGCTGCCTCTTGAGGACTGTGGGTCTTTTTCTAATTCATTTATTCTAGTCACATTTATTTTATACAAAGTCACATTCATTGAGTGCCTATTACGTGTCAGGCTCTGTTCTAGGTAGATGGGACAGAGCTGGAAATAAGAGACAAACCTCTGCTATTATGGAGCTCATAGTCTAGTAGGAGGGTGGAGGGTGGGGTGAGAACAAACAGTATATAGTTTATCAGACCCTGACAATCCCTACAGAGAAAAACGGAGGGAATGCGTGTGGAAGGCAGGGCGGGGTCATGGCAACGTTAAGTAGGGTGGTCAGAGAAGACCTCGCTCAAAACTTAGTGCTTAGGCAGACACCTGATGGCACTAAGATCTGACCTCTCTGGGGGCGGAGCCTTCCAGGTAGAGGGACCAGCAGGTACAAGCTTAGAGTGTTAGGGGCAGAGCAGCGAGGCCAGTGTGGCTGGAGCAGAGTGAAGGCAGGGTTCAGGTACATTAGTGGGTAGTGTGAGTGTAGTGGGGCAGGAGGATGACGGAAGCTGCAGTGACACGTAGAGGAGGTGGTGGTGAAGGCAGGTCATGTAGGGCCCTTGAAAAGACTCATCTTTAGCCCACATGAGACAGCAAACCACTGGTGGGGTTTTGAGCACTAGAATGACATGATCTGAATTCTTAAGTACACTTTTTATTCAGGTTTCATTGCTTTACCATGTTGTATTAGTTTCTCCTGTACAACAAACGGAATCAGCTATGCGTGTGTGTTTGTCGGTCAGTCTTGTCCAACTCTTTGCTATCTCCATAGACTATAGCCCGCCAGGCTCCTCTGTCCATGAAATTCTCCAGGCAAGAATACTGGGGTTGGTAGCCATTTCCTTCTCCAGGGCATCTTCCCAACCCAGGGATTGAACCTGGGTCCCCTGCGTTGCAGGCAGAATCTTTACCATCTGAACTACCAGGGAAGCCCCTATGTGTATACATATATACCCTCTTTTTTATACTTCCTTCCCATTTAAGTCACCACAGAGCATTGAGTAGAGTTCCCTGTGCTTACACAATAGGTTCTCATTAGTTATTTATTTTATACATAGAATTAATAGTGCATGTATATTGACCCCAAGCTCCCAATTCATCCCACCCCCACCCCCTTCTCCCTTGGTATGCATATGCTTGTTCTCACCATCTGTGTCTCTGTTTCTGCTTTGTAAATAAGAGACATGATCTGAATTAAGTTTTATTAGTAACAAGATTACTTTGGCTGCTGTGTTGAGTATAGATGGTAGAGGGGTAAGGGATATTAGCTATGAAGTTTTTGCAGTAATCTTGGTGAGAGGCTGGAATTTGGGACTTTTTTTTTTTTTGCAAGTAGAGAAGTGCTGATGGATGTGGTTTGTGACAGAAAAAGAGGAGTCTAGAGGTTCCCAAAGTTTCTAACCTGAGTGACTGAAAGGATGGAGAGGCCCTTTATTGAGATGGAGGAGATTCTAGAAGGGGATGATTTTGAGAGAAGAGGAGGAGTTTAGTTTTGGATATGTTAAGTCTGAGCTGACTAGATAAATATTCAAGTGGAGGTGTTGAGTAGGCAGTTGTATGTGAGTCTGGAATTCAAGGGAGAGGTCTCATGTG